TCAAGGCCAAAAGGGATGTAAATAGAATGTAATGCCGATTTTAAGGGCGATTGGGATTTAATATTACATGGTTGTCCTCGCAGTACTTCTTGGAATCGGGCCTTAGGACATTATCAAAGCCAAAAGGGGTGAAAAAAGAATGTAATGTCGATTTTAAGGGCGATTGGGATTTATGATAACTAAATTATCATCGCAGTACTTCTTGGAATCGGACCTTAGGACATTATCAACGTCAAAAGGGGTGAAAAAAGAATGTAATGTCGATTTTAAGGGCGATTGGGATTTAATGTTGGCATTTAATATTACCAAGTTGTCCTCGCAGTACTTCTTGGGATTGTAAGGGAGTGTAAATAGGACGTAATACCTTTTTTAAGTCCGCACATTTTGACGACCCTTGTAAAAATTATACAGCTCTGCAGTTATAGATGGAATTTTGCGTAAGGCCCTAGAGGTTTTTAATATGGCTTGCGGGTGACAAAAAGGGAACTGACTAGTCCCAATTTGTCCCAGCGGCTTTTATTAACCTTTGATTTCTGTTGTTGCTTCCCAACAAACTAAAGCGTTGGTTAGTGCGGTTAATGTCATTAACCGGGCACGCACTGGTTTCTATCTGCCAGCCTCTGGAAAAGCCATTGGCTGCGTGTCCCTAAAGATATCCCCAGAGATCCGCACTTCTTTTTTTGTGGGGCCTAGTTGCATAAAAAATGAAGGTATTTTGGATCAAAAAATAATCATAGAATTTATAAATCTTCGGGTAAGCGTTTGTTAATGCGGTAAAGGTCATTTACCGGGCACGCACTGGTTTCTATCTGCCAGCCTCTGGAAAAGCCATTGGCTGCGTGTCCTTGAAGATCTCCCCAGAGATCCGCACTTCTCTTTTTGTGTGGTCTAGTTGCATACAAAATGAAGATATATTGGATCAAGAAATAATCATAGAATTTATATATCTTCGGATAGCGGACAAGCTTCTGCCTCCATCGTCTCAAGCTTCTTTATTCGACTCTTAGCGTCAGGTTTTTCGGCATCTAAAGATTCTCTAAGAATTCAACTAGTCGTCATCAAACCATAACGTGCTCGTATTGCAGCCAATGCAGGTCCTTCTTTCTCGGGCAAATAATTTTTCAACGAAAAATTCGACTTTTAGAAGTCCGAGATACATTTGATTTAATTTATGAAAATATGCACAGCTTGAAAAGCTTTTAAGGGCAGTATTCGTGCTAAAATCATGAAAATAGTTCTTTTGAATTCATTTTTAAAACGGCGCTCTCATGTCAATGGGTCTTCTACCTTATCGGTCTTTTAATTTACTAACAATTATTTATTACATTCAAAATATGAATATGAAATATGTTGGTTCTAGTTCTTTCGCCAACTCACTGTTTCCAATTTGAATTTCATATATTTTTGTCTTCAGGCGCATTCCTCAACCAAAGACGAAAGATATTCTACAGAAAATGCGTTAGTTGAGTGATAGCCAGTCTCTGGAAAAGCCATTGGCTTGGAGTACCCGCATTTCCCTTCCAAAAATAACGAAAATATTTTGAAACATGAAATAATAACAGAATTTATACATGTTCGGATAGCGGACTTGACTTGCTCATATATAAATATATTTTTTCTTTGCTCCAGAAGCTTTTCCTGGATGACGATTTTGCCGGGACCAAAAATAAATCACGGCTTTTTGTGTTGATGAAGTGCAGGTTCTTCTTTCTCGGACAAATAATTTTTCATCGAAAAATTCGTCTTTTAGAAGTCCGAGATACATTTGATTTAATTTATGAAAATATACACAGCTTGAAAAGCTTTTAATAGCAGTGTTCGTGCTAAAATTATGAAAATAATCCTTTTAAATTCATTTTTAAAACGGCGCTCTCATGTCAACGGGTTTCTACCTTATCAGTCTTTTAATTTACTAACAATTATTTATCATATTCAAAATTTGAATAAGAACTAAATTATGTGGTTTAGTTTTTTTGTTGGTTTTGGTTCTTTCGCCAACTCGCTGTTTCCAATTTGAATTTCATATATTTTTGTCTTCGGGCTTTATTTCTTCCCAACAAGGTACAATAATCATTGCCACCAAATTGAGACTAAGAGCATTCCTCAACCAAAGACGAAAGATCTTCTACAGAAAATGCGTTAGTTGAGTGATAGCCAGACTCTTGAAAAGCTATTGGCTTAGAGTACCCGCATTTCCCTTCCAAAAATAACGAAAATATTTTGAGACATGAATAGCGGACTTCACTTGCTCATATATATATATTTTTTTTTCTTTGCTCCAGAAGCTTTTCCTGGATGACGACTTTGCCGGGACCAAAAATAAATCACGGCTTTTTGTGTTAATGAAGTGGAAGTGTCGTACACTGCGATTTTATCTCGCTAATAAATTGTATTTCAAGCATTTCTCTTAAATTTTAAAATTTATGAAGCCTATCCGTCAGTACCGAAGGACGTTTACGAGAAACATGCATAATTTGGAGTCATCTGGTTTACAGAACCATTTCCTCTCCATTATTTCCAGTCCGATGTAGTGTTACAGTATTTTTATTCGGTGTTTTTACACGCTTTTTGGTCTTCTTAAGTAATTTGTAAGTAATTTGAGGAAATTATTGTGGCGTCACTTTTGGCCAAAAACTTCACCTAATGGAACCCTCACCCTGAACCCATTTGCTAATAGCAAATATTTTATAATATAAATATAACCTAATTGAAAATTAACTTATATCTGGCTCTGATAACACTGCGATGTTTGGAAGCATTTTGAACACAAGGCTCACTGACCATACATTTATTTATTTTATTTAATTCACTTATGTCACCGGTTTTATGTTTCGGTTTTTGGCCCTCTGAAAAGTGCTGACCGCGGCATGGTGCTGTTCCTGTTGGCTTGTTTCTAATTCACAGTCTTGCCTTAGCTGTCAAGGGATACTATCCGCTCCTAGGTCAACACAAATAAATACAAATAATATTATTATTTATTGTGCGGATATAAAAAATATAACTTATGAAAGCTAACATCTGATAGGAACAATACATCCCTATAATTTCATCTAAATTCATTTTTACCTTATAAATATGCAAGCGCCAATTATTTTAACTAGTTTTATGTCTGGGTACTTGACTTGACCCTCTTAAAAGGACCAACTTTGTTAACATCTTTCTTTGGTCGGATAGCACTTTGGAATGTTTGCAGTATTTTGTCCATCAAAAAATGAGTGCGTAATATAATAATAAGTGAGAAACCTCATACTGCTTCTACGGCTATTGTTGTAGCAAATGTAATTTATACTTTTTTGTTATCTCATTGAAATGCTCCATTTATAAACAAGATTTTCCGTGCAGTACTTCTCAGCCTCTCTTGGAATCGGGCCTTAGGGCATGATCAAGGCCAAAAGGGATGTAAATAGAATGTAATGCCGATTTTAAGGGCGATTGGGATTTAATATGACCAGGTTGTCTTCGCAGTACTTCTTGGAATCGGGCATTATCAAAGCCAAAAGGGGTGAATTTTAAGGGGGATTGGGATTTAATGTTGGCATTTAATATTACCAAGTCTTCGCAGTACTTCTTGGGAGTGTAAGGGAGTGTAAATAGGACCTAATACCTATTTTAAGTCCGCACATTTTGACGATCCTTGTAAAAATTATACGACTGCAGTTATGGATGGAATTTTGCGTAAGGCCCTAGATGTTTTTAATATGGCTTGCGGGTGACAAAAAGGGAACTGACTAGTCCCAATTTGTCCCAGCGGCTTTTATTAACCTTTGATTTCTGTTGTTGCTTCCCAACAAACTAAAGCGTTGGTTAGTGCGGTTAATGTCATTAACCGGGCACGCACTGGTTTCTATCTGCCAGCCTCTGGAAAAGCCATTGGCTGCGTGTCCTTAAAGATCTCCCCAGAGATCCGCACTTCTCTTTTTGTGGGGCCTAGTTGCATAAAAAATGAAGATGTTTTGGATCAAAAAATAATCATAGAATTTATAAATCTTCATCTTCGGATAGCGGACAAGCTTCTGGCTCCATCCTCTCAAGTTTCACCCATTGCCTCATAGCGTCAGGTTTTTCGGTATCTATCGATTGTCTAAGAATTTAACCAGTCGTCACCAAACCATCAAGTGTTTCTATTGCAGCAAATTCAGGTTCTTCTTTCTCGGGCAAATATTTATTATCAAAAAATTCGTCTTTTAGAAGTCCATGAAATATTTGGTTTATGGCATGAAAAATGCACAGCTTTTAATATCAGTGTGTGACCATGAAAATAATGCTTTTGACTTTATATTGAGTCTTTTTATTTACTAACAATGATTTATTATATTCAAAATATAAATAATTAAATTATACGCTTTTGTTTTTTTGTTGGTTCTGGTTCTCTTGCCAACTTACTATTTCCGATTCGAATTTTATATATTTTTCTCATTCGGGATTTACGTCTTTCATAGTCGCATTCTTCAATTTAAGACGAAAAATCTTCTACAGAAAATGCGTAAGTAAGTGCGTGTGAGGGCCTTTGCCGGGCACGTAATGGATTCTATCTGCCAGCCTCTTGAAAAGCCATTGGCTTCGTGTCCCTAAAGGTCTCCGCGGGGTATCCACACTTCTCTTTTAATGTGGCCTAGTTGCAAAATATATGAAGACGTCGAAATGTCGGCAAACATCGTTTTTCTTTATTCTCATTCATACCGCGGAACCAGTAGATGATGGCACATAAGTTTGTATGGGACTTTTTACTCATTTATCATGGGGATGTAGAAATGGATTGTGGAAATTTAACGAAGTTCAATTTAAAAAAAGAGGTGCCAACTCCATACGGTCTGCAAGTCCGATTGGCATCCCTTTATACTGCGGCAGACAGTTATCGGAGTTGTGTGAGACCATTTCTCCGATCGAAAACCGATTAATCGACAGGTTCGTATCTCCGCTAACTTAGTACACCCTCCAACCACTCGCATGTGACCGTTCACTCCGCTGTCGGAAATCTGGCAGCACTGACAGAGGAGGTCCGGCAGCTCTGGCGAAACAGCTGCTCGAAAGCAAGTAAATATCAGCTGATATCACTATTTATTTTCGGAAACAGAAACGAAACGAAGCGGTGGCGGCGCCTGTGGTGGGCGGGGCAAGGCAAGTAAGCGAGTTGAAAATAACCAAGTGGTGGCAGAGAATCCCGAACCGATCGCAGCCGGCAGAAGCAGCAGAAGCGACCTGCGAATGCACGATGACGAGTCGCCAGCGGACGGTGATAATCTTCAAATCGGAGTCGGAGAGCAGCGACCTGTACGCGGAGACGCTGGAGCGGCACGACTTCAATCCGGTGTTCGTGCCCACGCTGAGCTTCGGCTTCAAGAACCTGGAGCAGCTGCGCGCCAAGCTGCAGACGCCGGACAAGTATGCCGGCATCATCTTCACCTCGCCGCGCTGCGTGGAGGCGGTGGCCGAGGCGCTGAGCCTGGGCGAGCTGCCCGGCGGTTGGAAAATGTTGCATAACTACGCCGTCGGCGAGGTGACCCACAACCTGGCCCTGAGCACCCTGGACCAGCTGTTCACCCACGGCAAGCAGACGGGCAATGCCCGCGCCCTCGGCGAGTACATCGTGGACACCTTCGACGGCTCCCGGGCGCTGCCGCTGCTCCTGCCGTGCGGCAATCTGGCCACCGACACGCTGCTCTCTAAGCTGGCCGAGAACGGCTTCTCCGTGGACGCCTGCGAGGTCTACGAGACGCGCTGCCATCCCGACTTGGGTGCCAACGTGGAGCGGGCACTGGAGGTCTACGGGGAGTCCATGGAGTTCCTGGCCTTCTTCTCGCCGTCGGGCGTCAATTGCGCCCAGCAGTACTTTGGCAGCAAGCAGATGTCGATGGACAAGTGGAAGCTGGTGGCCATCGGGCCGAGCACCCGGCGAGCCCTCGAATCGCAGGGCCTGAAGGTCTACTGCACTGCGGAGCGGCCCACCGTGGAGCATCTGGTCAAGGTGCTGCTCAACCCGCAGGACAGCCGGGAGCGACTGCTGAAGGAGCGCGAGCGGATCGCCGCCCTCGAGAATAACAATTAAGATGTCTAATCCTAAGGTTCGTTGGCCCGCAGATTGGTTAAAGCACGAGGGTTAAATCCTCTATCATTTCTACCCATCATTTGTTAACCCACATACTGGATTTGTTGCTTCATCGTTGATGGTCGAAGATATTGGAACCCTAAGCTGCTCAGATCTTAGTTTTTATGTGCATAACTCCACAATGGAGATCTCAAGGCCCCAGAATTATAGTTCTCTTGGCATAGTTACGATTGTGTCCCAAGATTTCTACACCTTAAAGATAAATTCATTGCTAAATTCTAATCAAACCGTTAGCTTCACCGTCTTATAATTCATTTTCCCTATCTTAATACTTATAAGATGATCCTAGTGGAACCTCCGATTAAAAATTACAGGATAAGTAATACCACGTCCCCCGAATGAAACGAAAAAAGACTACAACTCTTGGTTTTTTTCGGTTGACCTCCGAGCGAGTACAAAATTAGCGGGCATCAAATGCCGACGTCTTTATTTTCTGTTTACCATTGGATTAAGCTGAATAAATTGTTTCTTTTCTAAATTTAGTTGGTCGTCTTTGTGGGTCATATAGGAGGTGGCGGAAAACTTAAGTAGATTTAAGCGATTATCGAGTTTGTTTTCTCTCGCTTTGAGTACATTTTTTGTTGGTTTTGAACTGCCTCTATTTATGTATATGGCTCAAATATATTATGAAATGTATATCATCATGCTTTTAATTATTTCTATTCTGCCCACTTTGCTAATTATGTTTTCTAAAACATAACAGAGGTTTTCTATGTTGTAAACTGAGTATCAAAAATTGTTTCATCTTTTATTGGTTCTGCATCTTAGAACGAAACCTGTAGTTTTTGAAACCCCATAATATACGTTAGCTATTCAAGAATTTGGCGCCAGTTTTTAAATGATATCTATAAATTCATATATCGATATAATAAGATATCGATACTCGACCCAAGATGTATCGATATTCAGAGACTTGCAAAAGTCACGGGAAAAATATTTATTTTTACGAAAAATATCGATAATTGATACTCTGACACCTTTTTACATCCCTAACTTGAACCTTTTGTTTATCGTTTTGGCTCTTTTTTTTGCGTTTATTTGATTTTTCCTTTCGTTTGCGAAGCAACAAGAAAACAAAGAAGCCGAAAATCAGGAGAAAACACGCGGCAATTGGAAAACAGCGAAATGTAAGTGGAAAGCGAAATAAAAGTACGAGATTCCAAGGCACAAGAAAAAAGCGCAACAAGCGCACACATACACACGACGCAGGTACGCGGCTCTTTCACACACACACACACACGCATACTTTCACACACCGGCAAAAGTTGAGCGTTGGACAAAAAAACGGCTTTTATTGTCCGCATATTTTTTTATTCGTGTTTCGTTTAGCCTAACGACAAGCACTCAATTTCTTTCCGTGGGTGTGCAAAATAAATAAAATAACTCATTTCCTTTGCCGGCAAGCAAAAACAAGAAGTGCGCTGCATGTGTGTGTGTAAGTTTTGCGTATTTAACGGTCTTTTATTTTACTTCTTGTACTCTAAATAATAAGAAAGAAATGTGAAACAAACGAAGAAAGAGTGTGAAGCGAAGGCGGAAATACCGGTATGTGTGCGAAAGAGAGGGAGGCAGAGATAGTGTGAGTCATTAACCGGCATTAAAAAAGCTTAAAAAACACTGTAAATTAAATGGCAATACAATAAAGTCAGTCAACAAACATTACAAATAAGTAAGGAGAGACCATCTTCCCTCTCGCTCGCATGCACGGCAAAAGCTTCTTAAAAAGTCAGTTAAAAGTAATTCGGCGTTAGAGCGAGACAGCGCCAGAATTTTGAAGTGAATTTTTTAATTTTGGTGGGCAGCTGCTCAAAAATCAGTGTGTGTGTGTGTGTGTCTTCAAAGCGTGTGAAAATTGCAGCCGCCACTCCAACCACCGTTTTTCCCAAAGTTTTTCACCTTCTTTGTCTCGGCTTCCCCATCCCTTTCGCACACTTAGCCCATTAGCATGAAGTCGCATTTTCCAGTTAGAATATCCAGATTAACCGGCGATCGGAGATGGCAAAGACAAAAATAGCTAGGCACTAGCCAGAATATTTGACAAAAATAAGTAAAAAGTTATCTATTTTAGAAATGACATCTCTTATGATTTTTGTTAACTTGAAGGAAATTTAAAGATAATAATTAAAAATATAGATTAATTCCGAATTTGTTGAAATGAAAAGTTTGCAATCAACGCCTATCATCTTAGGATATTTAATCCCGTACGCTGTTTGGGAACAAGCTACATTTTAAACTAAATTGTTGTATACTGAAATACTATCGCTATAAAGTAGTTTGGCTCCAATTCTTTACTTACAAAACCGAAAATTGTACATATTTTTCGAAACTAGTTTGGATAATTATAATAACTTTCATTAAAAATTAACCGAAGCATTCCATCATAAAGTGTTAGAAAAGTAGCTATGTTAGGAAAACTACTTAAATATTACTTCCTTGAATATTGTCCAAAAATTATTCCATCACTACTCTGATATCATGGCTAACTTAGGATCCCAACCTCATCACTAACGAAGCTGTTTGGTGGCCCGTTTTTAATACGGGTTCGAAGAGCTGTTAGAATTTCCCGCTCTTCCACTTCCCTCGTATATTATTATTTATTATTATTGAACCGGAGCATTTTCAGGCGGTTTTTCAGCCTGTTGCTGTGTGCTTTCTTTCTTTTGTGATTTGTCATGCATTGCCAGGGTCCCACTGTGAGTCAGACGATCTGCACAGAGAAAAAGGTTGCAGAATCTGCAAGATCTTTAAGCTGCACATTATAATACACTGCAAACTTGAAAAAATATGTTAAATTTTCAAACAAAACACGAAAATATGTTAAATGAAAACTGTGATCTTTTCAAAACTGTTCCCAAATGATCATTTTTTTCGAGTTCCCCTCTTTATCGGCATCTTCCTCTTTTCTCACATTCCCCGGCCAATTTGTAACGGCTTTGTGTGGCACTGAGAAAGCGACGAAGTTGTCAGCTTCTTCATTTCTCAAATGAATGCTGTTCAATAAGCCGAAACAAGTTGCTGGGGATCGATCGAGTCCAACGAACAGGCATAGAAATTTGCATGCCAAACTTGATAGGACTACCGAGTACCCTGTAAACTCTGCTCTAACAGTTTCAGTTCCACTTTGGTTTCCTTTATATTGTTTATATTTGGAATTTTGAACCAATGTAAAGCGCTCTTAAAATTCAGATTAAAAGGTAAGGCCGAAGTCCTTAGTTGGTAGCGCTCTATTCATAAGTTAGCTCATGGTTTTAAGCTTTAAGTCAGCCTCATATAAAGAAGTAAAATTATCCAAGAAACATTTTCAAGAGCTCCTCGATCATATTTATTTTTGACATATAGGGGTTATTCTATATACCCCTGATACCCATTTATCGCATCTGGCATAACTAGGCTAACGACTGTCTCACTCGCACCCACACACTGCCATTGGCAGCGGATGCTGTCCGCCTTTTTTTTTTATTTACACTTCTCTCTTTCTGGCACTCGGATTTGTTGCTTGGCCGGCCATTCATTATTTGATTTATAGTTTGGAAAATGGTCAACTCTTTCTCCATTAGCTCAATTAGCACATTTGGATTTGACTGGAAACGTATTTTTTTACGTTTGAATATTTTGCGATGCCTCACAAAATCATATAAATAAAACTAATACAAAAAAATGTGAAATACGAAAATAAAACCGGTTTTTAGCACCAGTGTTGCCATTTTGGTTAGCATCTTCTCCTCCTTTGCCAACCTCCTTTCTTGATCGCTCTGGCAGGTAAAAAAGCACCCAAACTTTGAATCTAAAGATGATAGCGTGAGGATCTTTAAGATCAACAAATTAATCACAGAATGAATCATGCAGTTAGAAGAGGAATGACAGACTCTTTTAATTGCCTAATGATTTACTTTAACTGATTACTTCAACTGAGCTGTTTAAAATGTTTATATTGGCCATCAGTTTAACAGGGACAATAAATATTGACTTGAAATAACTGATATTTTGTAATAAACTGTTCTTAAATTCTACTCAAAAATTTTATTGGCTTAGAACCGATTCGGGATCGTTTTTTAACCGATTCCGTTATCATTGGCAACCAACATTTACGTTTTACTGATTCATAACCGATTCAGCTACGAAACTAAGCAGTTCTCATATTTGCAATTCGAGATCTTCTTGATATAGTCGACTGACTTTTCCATCCCTAAACGCACCCACAATTGTCTGCCTGGGGACGTTTTTTGGGGATTGGGAATGGCTTTTGGCCGTGTTTCGGGCCATGGATTTTGACATTGAATACACAAAATTTGCAACGAACACAAAGGCGAAATGCGCGCGAGACACCGAAAGCGCCTGACGTCATGGTTGCGCCCCAAGCGTTCGTTATATTTGTATTTATTTATTCACAAAAACGGAACAGAATGCTATCGAGGTACAGCGATCGCCAAGTGTTGTAGATAAGGTCGGAAATGTCAGACGAAGGATGTTATAGTGGTGGACAACGGAAGATCTCCCAAATAAAATCACAGTTAATATGTTAAAATACATAAAAAAGATCCTGATCGGTTACTAGTGATTAAAATAAGTAAGCTAAATAACTAACTTAAATTAACAGGATTTTTATGTGGGAATACAAGATACTTTTAATATTGACAGTGGCATCGCCTCGAAATGTAATGTAATAGTATTGAGGACGTAACATTTGGATTGTATTATTTTTCTTTGCGAGGCATTACTGTATCTAAAGGCATTCGCTTATTTTTGCAATTTTCTTGTAATTTTTTTTAGCTGTCTGCGAACTTGAAATTTTGCGATAAAAGGAAAGGAACTCCCCGTCTCTTTTTTTACTCTCTTTCTATCCCTTTCTTTAATGCTCTCTCTGGAAATTCTCTCTTGTGTTTGCTCAGGCGTCGGCTTTTCATTTTTCGTACTTTATTTACTTTCCTCTCTGATTTTTGTTTTTTGGGTGCAACAAGTGTGCGGAGCTTTGTTGTTGTACCGTTTTTTATGTTAATTAACCAAAACGAGTTGTTGTTTGTGTGTTTGTTATGGTTGACTAGTTAAGCGCGTAGAGAGCAAGAGCGGTGGAGAAAGAGAAAAGGAGAGAGAGGGCAGATCATTACGTAATGGGGAAAACGTTGCTTTCAAATTTTCCAGTGTTGCCACCTGATCAGATTAACACTTGTTACGCTCCGCGATCTTGAATGGCGACCCTCTTTAACCCTCCCCTGGCCAACGAGTTTTCGCTGCTTATTGTGAATTGTGCATTTTAATAATCATTTTTATAAAATTGCCACTTGACTTCAATGTGACATTAATAAAGAGTGTGACCATTTAAAGGACCTTTAAATGTACAACCGAAGAAAACGTTTTATAACCGATTCACAACCGCTTCATAACCGATGTGACATACCTATCTTAATTTATATTTTAGCCTTTCTTATTTTTGATCGACCTTTTAGCAGTCGTAACTTTTTGGCCAATGATAATTGGCAACACTGGTTGTTAAGCCGCGTGACTTGTTTTTTTTTTTTTTGACCGCACATAAAATTAAAATTTTTGTTGTTTGTTTACCGATCATCTTTGCATTCTCTCTCGCTCTCTTTTATTTCTCACCGATTGCATTTCGTTTTGCCTCGTTTTATTTGGCTTTGGCCTTACTCATTTTGTTTCGGACTTTTGCTACGTGCACTTCTCAGCAACGCTAAAAAAGAGAGAAAAGAGTGGGAGGGAGAGAAAGAGTGACCGAAAGAGTGTTGAAACAACACAGAGAGAGTCCCAGTCCCAAGAGAACAGACTTCTCTGAAAACCATTTTTTTTTTTTTAATAAATCATTATTTTCCAAGTGAGTAACTTTAACCCGCCCTTCACCCAATTTTCCAAAAGCAGCGACGCGAGAGAAATTCATCAATGCAATGAGTCAGAAGGGAGTGCTGAGAGATAAATCTAGAGATAAAGATAAAGGGGGAGAATTGAGAAGCAGAGCAGATATTTAGTGGGTCACTTTCAAGTAGGAGTTCCAGAACTCGATCTCGGGATCCTTAAGAGGTTTAGGATTAATTTTTGAGATAGTGGCTTAAGTCGGATAATTTTAAAGATGTCTTTAAAAAAAACTCTGAACCTATGAGAATTTATAAATTTTTATAGCTTTTCAGTCCCATCAAACGAGTACTCGTTTTCCAATTCCAATCTATAAAATCATTCGTTTGCCAGTTTTTTTTTGTAGAAGTTTGCTTTAGCTGCCTTTTTGGCAATAGAGAGTATCTGTTAGTTGAGAAACTCCAGTTTGAGTTCTGGCTAATTGTGCTTTTACTGCCGGCGACCTCCAGACCCCGCCCCATTCTCCTCCACCCCCTCCCCTCGCACTCCATTTAACCATTTTCGTATCTTATCTTTCTCTTTTTCACTTGCACAACACTTTGCGTGGGCTTTTACTTTTCTTCTTCTCGTCGCTGCTGCTTTTTTGTGTGTTGTTTAAGTGCTTTTGAAAGTGAAAGAGCGCTCGAAAAATGGAAATAACAAATTAAAAAACCCTCAAGGAGTTGACTCTTTTGTTAAAACTGGTAGACTGAGAAAAGATTCTGGGATGTTCACAGCCATTTCGCATTGTTGATCAGTTAACGAATTTAGGCGTGTTTTATTCAAATTCTGAGCAGTTTGTTATTTTACTTTTCGGATGAGTTTAAACAGATAAAGATACGGAGTTCTTTAGCCCCTAAATAAGATTTGTCATGCATATGATGTAATTCCTCCTGCAATTTTATTCGTATAAGTTAAAACCATTTATTTTTATTACATTTCTAATATAAATTTTCTAAAAAATATATTTATTGAACATTTTAGCAAATTGAAAATGTTTACTTTATATCACTTATTCTACTTTCAATCAGTATTGATGAGGTTATTCTCGATTACCCCACTTCAAAACCCTGTACTATACGTCTCGATTAAAGTGCATTTAATTTCGCTGAACATTTCTTTTGAATCATTTATGGACGTAGGTTAAGTTTCCTTTTTTTTTTTTGCTTACGCGCCAACTAGAGTGATAACAGATATTTATGTTTGTACAGTTTTTTTTTTGTTTCTTTTTTTTTTTTATCAATTTTAAAGTTGATAAACTATTTTTTTTGTGTCAAGCATGCTTCGCGTTTCGGGGACTACGTAATGTTCTAATTTTGGTTCTGAGAGCATTGCTGATATCCCAAAAATGGAGATGATAGAATGGATAGCTTTTTTAGTAAAGGTTGCTGGTAATTAGGGTGGTCTGCGTGAACAAATGTTGGTTGGTGATTATCGTCAATAGTAAATAAATTGGTTGTTTTTAATATTGGTATCTGGGTTATGTACATATTAAAAAAACTGTTCTTTTATAAATTTATAATATGATCGTTGGAAATAATTTCCAGCTTCTTTTTGTACTAAAAAAAAATTGCCTTCCTTTATATCATTTCGTTACCAATATGGTGCTTATAAATAATACTTACCGCCCATCGTCAGGGTTCACTGTACTTGGCTAAGCCCTCGAGTTCGTTATTGGCGATATGCTCATATCACACTATTCTGTACGTTCGTACGTACATATGTTGTGGCATGTCGGTTTGCGAGTACCGGAATGTTGGACCCAAGGTCTTGACTGTCTGATATCGGTTACACCATGGTTCTCGGGAACACGATCCACTGGCTCTGACTTGATGTTTGCCAACTTCTTAGCACTGTTTATAGTTCTATTTTCATTTCTATTGCGTGGGATCGGCTTACTGTATCTTGGAAGCAGTGTTTATCAGGCGGGTCACAGTCGTAGATTGCAACAATAAATAGCTATTCCGCAAAACAATGCAACCATTATTCTTTTAACAACAACCTACCTGTAGCTAACTGACCTGAATTGATCATACGAGTTGAAAGTACTCCCAGAGTCGCTTTATTGGACTTATTGGTGTTTTTTTTGTGCTTTTATTGATATTTGGTCTACGGAGATAAGTATTGCTTTCTATCCTAACAATTCAGTCAGTATTAATAATATTTTTTTTGATTGCGTAGTTTATAATTGTTTTGAAATGTTTCCAAGTTTATAATGTTCTGCAGGATATTGCTTTTAGATAAAATATTTTCGATTTATTCTCTCATATATATATAGATATATTCGTTTTTCAGGAAGTTCCTGTTCGTCCTTTAGGGTGTTACTTCTTTTGTAGGGTATCCAACAGTCGGCCAAAGCGGTCTCCTCTTGGTTGTTGCTGGGCTATTATAAAATTTTGCTCAACTTGCTTACGCAGGCAGAGGCGGAAAAAGAGCGAGAGCGAGTAAGCTCCAAACTTGCTCCAAGGCACTGTGGGGCCAACATCCATTTTGTTGGTCAAAACCCATTTTAAGCTCTGCTATTGACCGATTTGTAGGGGCTCTAAGGACAAATTTGGCTATATCATATGCGCAAATTGTGACCCCTGTCGTTACAAAAGGATATATATTTACGCATATAATTTATCGTATCGACATTGAATAATGTTAAACAGATATTGAAAAATGCAAATGCACTTCATCTGAAATCGATAAAAGTCAAAGAATAATTTATCAGTGAATGTTATGTACTGGTTCACAAAACTGAGTGACTTATTTATTTTAACCAACAAGGGTGGTCGTTGGCCCCATTGTGCAGGGCAGCGACGCCGGCGTCGGCAGCGACGCAGCAGCTAAGCGCGGCTGCAAAAAAATTGAGACAGTCGCGACGGCGCGCTCGTTTCAAGCAGACGTTTTTCCCTCTCTCAGCAGTTATAGTCTACCGTTGTGTGCGTTGTGCCGCTGTTGTTAATGTTGTTGGTTATGTTCTTGTTGTTGTTGTTGTGATACGAAACACTCTCCTTGTCGCTCCCGCAATTTTTGACGTTTTTTTTCGTGTGTTCTTTAGTGTTGGTCCAACGAGAAGAAGAAGAAGAAGAAGCAGAAGAAGAATCGTATAGCAAGAAGAAGCAAAAACAAACTGCGGTTGGTATTCAACATTCAAACACATTTTCATAAGTCTAAAACTAAAATTAAGCGCACCTGTATTGAGTGAGTGTGTCTGTGTTTGGCCAGTGTGTGTTACCTACCTGTGTGAGTGTCGGTGTGCGTGTGTGTGCCAGTGTGAGTGACCAGAGGTGGACAGTCAACGGCTTTTCTAAATTGACATACTTTCTAAAAGGCAGCAACAAAAGCGCAGAGGAGCAGCAAAATCTCTGACCAGCAGAAAAAGCGTCAGCAAGTACAGTGATCCCTCGAAAATGTCGAAGCAGAGACCCTGGAATTAACGCACTGACAAATAAATTATATAAGAAGTGGAGCGAATTCTTCGGCATTATTGTTTTATCCTTAGAAACTGGTTTAACCATATCGAAGTCCATATCTATGGAACGATTTAATTTTGATGATTTAAATATATATTTTATATAATTAAAGATACATTACATGAGCGAGTGATGTTTACCCAATTGATTTTATAAACCCGAGCTAGCAGGGTTGCCAAAAGGAGAGGGCTCACTGTAATGCCACACACTCTGCAGCAGGTTAACACCTCCTCATTCCCCCTGCCCCTTTTGCACCCTGCTCATAAACAAGTTGAAAGACCGGTGGACAGTGTAAATGACCAAAACCCAGACCAAAACCGAAACTAACTGCTATTTGCGATGGCGATGGCGAAAAGTCGGAAAAGTCGACAGGAAAAAGATCCAACCGCCTTTATATGGACTGTCGCGAAATGCAATCGATGTCAAATTAGTGGAAAAATGGAAGTCGATCGGGGAACAACTTCCTCTTGCATAAGGTTTTACCAAGAAATCGATGGGGATGCCAAAATAATTGGCGATTATTCGAATCGATTATGATGGTTTCGGAATAACAAACAAATGCTTTCGTTGCCTCAACGAAATAGTTTAAAAGGCATTCAACTTGGGAGGGATTAAGATCTTTGAAATCAATACAAACAAAATGATAGTTATGTTTTATCATATTTACAAATGTATATCTATGGTCTCTCATTTCTTAAAGATATAATTTAAATAGCCAAAAGTTCTTGGTTTAATATAATGCCTTTGAAACAGAAAATTTTGTTGTTAAAGATACAATATAAAATAGTTTTGAGCTCTTGGTTTAATATAAAGATATCCAAGTAAAACAAATGCAGGTTAAACTGTTGATTTAAGCCCATCCAAATCGTAATTATTATGGGTCGGGTTTCTGTGCCGCCGGAAGGGGGGCGGATAAGGGGGGACGGACGCCCATGGCATGCGATCGCTGAGCTGCGCCGCTGCCAACTTGCGCGCGTGTCTCAATGCATTTAAATTCGCTTTTTAATTTCTCAAATGATAGAGTAGTGCATATTAACGTACATTTTCAGCATTTTATTAAGCCATTTTTTGTGGAGTTTGCTTTTGCTTTTCTCTGCAATGTCTGTGTGTGTTTGTGTATATAAATTAAATGTTTTATCAGGTGCATAAGCTTACTTTTATCTACACCTGACGCTGACCGCGTGCTTAAAAAGTGAGATACAGTCATCGCTGGGTTGTTGAAATTTTCAAATAATTTTTAATGGCATTTTAGAGGTCAATTTGTATGAATTTTAATTTTAAAAGTTAATTGTATCAGTTCTAATAAAGAAAATCATGTTTATGAAAGGAAAACCATAGTAGAATGAACCCATTAGACAATTTCTAAGGGAAGCAGGTATCTTTAGTGCCTAATTACATTGTGAATAGTTGACTCCAAAGTCAAAACTCGTTTAGTAAATCCACCTGAAATCCAAAGGCCACCTGTTGAGTGATCACGGTATATTTGAGTTTGAGTTGGAGGAAAAGCTGTTTGTTGTCTAGCTGGCTTTTATGTGGGGGGGGAGGCGGTGGAGGAGGAGGTGCGGAGATCATTGGCCATCCATCGTTGGCCGCATTGCTAAAATTCCGCAGCTTTCTTTTGTTGTGTCTCTCAGCCTCCAAAAGTTGTTAATTTTGTGGCCGCACCCAAGTAAAAACTAACTGAATGGCAGAATTCTCTACGCTCAACTGTGAAGGTCAGTTAACTGAGTAGTAGAAGTTGAGAGAAGAGTTCTAAAAACAATTTGATGACGCTTCATTGATTTTCAATAACTTTACCTCATTTGCATTATTCGCCCGAAAAAACAATTCCTGTTTGTATTTGTCATTAGCACGAATTCCATGCTGAAAATGTCAAAAAGTTGGGGGGAACGAAATTAGCCATAAATAAAAGAACAGGTTGATCACGCTTTACAAGGGGTGTCGGAAGTAGATTTACTGTATACCTTACAATATTTTCAGAATTTTAAATAAATAGGTTTTGTGGATACTTTTAAAAAATATCTAACAAAAAAAGAAGTGGAAGATCTCTAGGCAATTCATTAAAATCCAAACGCAGACATTTTATGCAATGTAGTCAATGTCTATCCTTAAGATACTTTTCTTATGAGATGGATTTCAGTACACGGGGTAATCTCAGCTTCCTAACCCTTTTCTGCCTTTATCTGGAAAGTACTTACGCACATCCTTCAGATACTCTTTTATAATAAGATAGTTTTTGCTCATAGGGTAATCTCGGCTTCTTAACCCTTTACCGCCTTGTTTTCATGATGTTCTTTTCGCTGTTCACAAAATGCACACTACACATCCGAGAAACTGAAAGACAAGCTTAGGCAGCATCTGCTTCTTTTGCTTTTCATGCCTCGTCGTCTTTTGTTTTTTATTATGTCTTTTTTTCTGTTTTTCGAATACTTCAATTACATGTGCCCCTGTGTGCGAGGGTTTTTGTCTGGTTGTTGAGTTGTATGTATGAGCACGTTTCCACGTACGACGAAGGTTTGGAGGCGTGGCAGGGGGGCGGGGGAGGGGATATATACAGGGGTATACCTGAAAGATCGCCAGACATATTGCACTCGAGCTTCAAAGCTTCAAGTTAAATGACGACGTCGGCTGAGGCAGCGACGCTTTCGTGTTGCGTCAAAGTTCAAGGTGTAAAATATTTTTCTTTTTTTAATACGATAAATTTCTCATGGTGTGCACTGAGAAAATCGCAATCTTATACAACACTACCAGTATTTGGTATGTAACCTTGGCAAATATATTTCAAGTGTTAGACTTACTTAATGATATTATACTTTGGCTTTCTTTTAAATAAAAACCACCTATTGATGGTGTTTTATTATTAAGCCTTTTACGCATTTATTAAATTTCTCAAATATCTGTTATTTTTTATATATAATATTACCGCCATATGATTTTTGCTTGATAAATCTGGAGTCATTTGTAATATCAGCCCTTCAGACATCCACTAAACTTCTTGAAAAACTGGTATTTTCTCTCTGTGCACGTGCTTGAGTTAGCGACGATAATAACTTGATGTGCTGCCGCCTGCTTTTTTGAAATTGTTAAAACCTGAGCTCACCACCAAAAGCTCATATAGTAGTGAACCTCGTAATCGTCATCCTCATCGGCATTATCATTGACTGGCGCACAGTTAAAAATAGTGAATTGTTAATTGAAGAAATGACTAATTGTGCAATTGATTGTTTGCTTTGCTCTCTGATTTGTTGTTGTTATTGCCACCACACTCGTTTTCAATCTACCAAGGCAAAAGTGCGGTTGTGGGACTGCGTCAAATTAAATTTAACGCCGATTGAAATTTCTATGACTCAGGTATCAGGTGGTGTCAAGATTTTACCAAGAAACGCAGCCTATTAAGGGAAAATTAAAGGTGAAACGAGGTGTGGGTAAAAAATAAAATGCAAATAAGTGAGATGTAAAAATAAATGAATCTCGTATGGCAAATGTATATATTTTTTGGGCACTGAAAATAATTGAGAATAAAGAAATGAAGGTGAAATATATAAAACAAGATTTTGACCTCTTTGCGGAAACGTGAATGGAGACGAGTCCGAGAGATGCTAAATAAAAATGCTTGGATTTGTTTTTAATTTGCGAGGCATTGATAATTTAATTGTTGTTAATGTGGCACTTTTTGTGCCTTTCCATAATTCTAATGTTAGACACATTAAAAACGGCTAGTTGAATTTCTCCAATGAATGCGAAAAGTAAAACATTTTAAAAAATATATAATTTTTTTAATTTTATATTACGAGATATAAATGAAAATTAAAACATATTCTCTGCTCTTAGATGGTGGTCAAAACTGAGGAATAACAAATTTGAAAATGTACTAATTTGTAGTATAGGATGATTATCCAACAACGGATGTGCGGCAATTAATCAACACTTCCGCAGCTTAGCTCTTTACAACACTGCTGCACACCTGCATTGTCACCTGAGTTTTTTCTTAGAGAGTGTGTGTGTGTGTTTACCTTGTCATTGAGCTATCTTCCGTCTCTATCGCACTCCCCTCGGTGTATTGTTTTTGTTTTTTATCGAAATGTAATCATCTCCAGCGGCGACTTGGAAAACAAAAAGTAGAAAAATTTAGTTGCCATGGCTGTTTGTTTTACTTTTTAATGTTGTTTTAATGGCAGCTGTGTGTGTGATGCTGAGTGCGACTGTTTGCCTGTGTGCACATTTTCATTAACGCTTATTTGTTAATGGCCTGTGAGTTGTTGGTTTTTTTCTCCTCCGTGCTTTGCTGACTGCATATAAATCAATCGGGAAAAATATTGGTCAATGGGGAATTTGGGGACTATAAATTATAACCACTTTTTTATATTTCTGGCAGTTCAGAGATGTAAGGTTGGAATTTGTTAGAAAAACAGAAATTTTTTATAAATCTAGTGTTGAAAAACACTTAACGCCGTATTATTGAAATAAGTCGCTAAAAAACACATTTTCTGCCAATGTGAGTCATTTGAAAATCAAAATAAAAAACAATCTTTGCTTAGGACTTACTGTTTTATGAACTTGATTCACTAATCCAGTCTATATTAATTTGGCTGACTAAGAGTTTAGAAATTCCTATGCATTTATCAACAGTTTTTTCTTAGATATTTTGTTTTTTTTATCTCATTGTCGGCAAACTAATAAAGTCAAGACAACAATTGAAGTTGGGGCTGCACATTAACGTATGCATAACCTCAAAACCCAATGTCACGCATATTATTTACTCCTCAGCCTTTAGTGGCTGTCTCCATCTCTACAGCTCTATAGCTCTATAGCTCTGTGCCTGTATACCGCTATCGCTATTGTTAGCAATATTTGCACGAGTGTGTTTGAGAGTCGAAATAAACAGAAATAAACTGAAATGAAATGGAATGAAATTAGCTAACAAGCCAAGCCGAGGCTGTCGTTGTCTAACCTAACCGTCCGTCAGTCATAAATAAGTTGCAAATAATATGCGGACGACGGACATAAAAATAACTAATGGCAGATGGAGCCATCCACCTGTCTGTCCCCCTCTATCAGTAGGTTGCATCATAAAGCATGCCTCGTCGCACAGTGCATGCAAATTGTCAGCGTTTCATAACACACTATCTATATGGCAAAGAAAAAATCAAACCGAACAAAATTTAACGAGAAAAGAAACCCCTCTGTCCATTTATTTGACAATTGCCGAACGTTTTGTCTTTCAAATAATTGTGGAACTGCAAACGAAAGCATTAGCCATGGCAAACAGCCGTAAATAACCCAGGGCAACAAGTGGGCGCAGTTTTGGCCTAATAAAAAAGTACGAGTGACGGGGCGGATGAGTAACGTGTTTACATACTCCAGCGGTGACTGTACCTGATTTCAGATACATGTTCATACATGCTCAAGTACGTGTGTACCCCCATCGAAGAATCTCTAAAAATAGTTGCCTGGTAACTAGTTTTTATTTTTTCTAACATTATCTGGGGTTTGTTTATTTTCTGACTGCTAGTTTGGGAATTTAGCGATGAATAATACCCCATTTAAAACTTGCGGAATGTCAAGTGCTCAGTGTTATTGGTTTTGTTACCCGATAATTGTGGTATTCTCAAATTTGTTCTGGCTAATTCACATTTGCTACTGTTGGGTAATTTGTTTATTTTTAGAAACTATTTTGGTTTTACGTCCCACATTAAATGTTCTTATAAGGTTAAATAATATGCCCGTATAAATACTAATTTAACACATTCTTTATTGCTCCAATAAATCTAACACGTCTTTTAAAGTGTTACCATTCATTCATAATGAAACACTATTATTGGAGAGACATAGTGTTGGTAAACGTTTCTATAATACTAGAGTTGTAAAGATCTGTCTAAACTAAAACAGTTATATTTTGGAAATTTAAAACATTTGTGATTTGTAAAAAATTCAGTGTTGGGAAACGGGGATAAAAGGCTTTCGACCTAGTATTTGAGGAACCACGAATATTTAATGTGAGCTCATTTATGGTATCTCTGCAAACACCCGAAAAATAATTCAGTATTGGGAAATCCTTTCGATTGTGGGCATGTGCCAAACAATCTATTATTTATCAATTTCGATTCGATGGGGTTGATATATTGCTGATGATGTCTTGTCAACATGCGACCCAATTGCCTGTGTCTGACGCCCTGAATGTTGGCATTCAATTTTCTATTTGCTGATTTTTCAGGGTGATCATTTTGTTGCTATTTTTTGTGTGCTAATGACAAGATATCCCCCAACTTTTATCATGAGTTGGTTCCGTTTTTGGTCTCCATTTGCCAATTTATAATTGCTCTTCCCCCCTTAATTTACCCCCATTGTTTTTGTCTACCTTTTTTCCTGTTCGGTGAGGCAAATAAAATATTTTTGGGCCAATTGCCCTGCGACTGTGTGTGTTTTGTGTGTGCATGTGAAGTTAGATAAGATATGCACATGATTTTATTGTAAACGTTGTTGGGTCACCATGTGTCGTTGTTGTTAGCTCGGGCGGAAGTGACTGCAACAACATTAACTTGATTTTATTACCATTTTTACCAATTTATTCTACGTGTTGTAAAACACACGACAAAGAGCACAAATCGTGCACTTCGATTTGATTGCCTTGGCAGAAGCCGAAAGTCATTAACCAATTTCTTTCGATCCGACACAACTCACGTACATTGTATCTGTGCACTAAAGGAAGGTAATAAAACCAAACAGTTGCGATCAGAGATTTATGAATGCATATTTGTTTAAATCGATATTGTGATTTTTTTTTTAATGCTGGAAATATGAAATCAATGGCTAAAAATAGGAAGTAGAAATAATAGTTTGTAAACCCAATTATATTTTTTAACAAATTCTATTTTGTTTAAACAATGAAATTTTCCAACACCAGAACGTGCTTAATGTCCACTCGCTATATATTTGGTAAAGATTGTCGGCCAGTGCTGATAAGCTAGCTCCCAATGTCCCTTACGTAATTTGACCCAATTAAGATTACCGATTCAAATAACATGAAAATTTCAGGGGAACCCCGCTCACACCAGCACATTTCGATATATTATTGTGCTGTATGTGAAATTACTTCTCACAAAAACTTTCCATTGATTGACTGCCTCATCTGCCTGCTTCCCTAATTCCCCCACAAAAATCGGGGGCCAAATTTGTCAGCTAGATAAACCAACAAATGGCCAACAATGTATCTGTTTGCGTGTGTTTTGCATGCGGTACGTTGACAATTGACAAAAACAATTAACGGCAATCTATCGATTGTGGGCGGGGGTTGTATGGTTGCATAACGGAGCTTCGCCCCAAGGAGTAGCAAAAACACATCATCCAGTAGATGATAGTCATTGAGCCGTATCATTGCCTCGAACTTCTCGAGTTGTTAACTTTATATATCGACTTATGTCTTCCAAAACTCGAGTTTTGCAGTAAAAAGAGTTGATTTTTGAAAATATTCAAAGTACGTAAAAATGTCAGTGTTGGTAAACCGATTTTGAAGCACTCTGGTCACTCTTTCATTTATAATCCCCAATAAAAAACTATAGCAAATAAATCCCCGACACAAAAGAACTAATTGTGCTTGTGAGTTGGCAGTTTCAAAAAACAATAAAAAAAACTAAAAAGCAGACATGACGGAAAGGCATGGACAGTGGGCCTCGTGGGCACGGACAGTGGGACAAATCCGGGGGAAACGTGTGTGAGAGAATCACTAATGTATTTGCGTGCCGAGTTAATTGTGGCATCGCTGATGTTTTCATTTCCCCTTCGTGAGGTGTCTCATTTTCCGTCCCCCCTCCCCATCATTTCCCCCCTGCGGACTTCCATGTGTGCCTTTATTGTTGTTCCGCCGCTGTCATATATTTTCTTTACGTGCGCGATTTTGTTTGCTCTTTGCTATCTAGAACATTTAAGCCTAATTTGCTTCATTAAATCGTCACATTTGTTAGTATGTCTTCTGTCTTTTTTTGTTGTTATTTAATTTTTCAAATTTTTGTTTTGTTTTTCCCTGGAAGCAAAATGAACGTCAAGTTGACGAGTTCTAGTTTTGGTCAGAAGGGTATATTAGTTTTTAGAGCCCAGTCCCATAAACTGTGATTGCTAATCAGAAATTTGATGGGGAGATTTTAGGGTATCGGTTAACCAAACAATAAAAATAAAGTACGAAAAGCTGTAAGTAATTTCAAATCTTGTCAAATGTAAAGTATTGTAAAAATATATTTATTTTATTTTATTTAATTGCGAGGTATCTGCTATTCCACACGTTAAAATGTTTTTCTTTTGTTTTTTTAAAAAGAAGAAAAACTGCCGCCAACTTGATTAATATCTTTGTTCTCTGGTCTATTTGTTCGCTGTAGCTGTTTTAGCCCTTAATGAACAGCTGTGAGGACCTGGATAAATGCTACAAAAATCAAAAAGCCAAGCTAAATTCTAATGATATTAAGATTGCCTGCTGCTTTCGGTTTGTTTTTACTCGCTTTGTTTTGCCGCCCGGTTCCATTCATAAAATACATCCCATATAGTTTACTTGGTCAGTTTGCTTTGGCTGATCGCTTGATTGCCTTCGGTTGCGCATTTTAATTATTGGGGAGGAAAAATCAACTCGCCATGAAAACAAAAGAGAAAAAACCCTAAAAATAAAGACAAATAATTGTTGAAATTAAAAGTGGACGGGCCAGACATAATTTTATTTAAAGCTCATTATTATGAGGGTTTTTTGGAGGAACGTGAAGAAAAGTAAAAGCGATGAGTTGCGGGCGGAGTGGGTTTAACTTCTCATTTTTCCTCTTTTGACTCCATTTAATTTGATGGATTTTAAAATGCGTTGCGCATGCGCAATAACAGTTTTTCCCTCTCATTAAGTGTGTTTTCGTGTGTTTTTCGTGCGGTGTTCCGCTGGTCAAACAATAAACGTGATTTTTGCCGTCTCTACTTTGACTCATTAATTTAGTTAATGGATATTAAACATAAACAAGACAAAGCTCTCCAGGGGGAATCTCTGGCTCGATCTCGCTGCTGGTGTCTCCAAAAAGCGAAACTGAAGTTATGTAAACGCGAACGTTTGTTTTTCAACTGAATGAATTGAATGATTGTGGGAATAGGGGAAGAATAGTGACAGCAAGTCCATTAATTAGCAAAATTATAATAATTACAAAACGCAGGAGCTGTGGAATAGAAAAATATAAATTCATTTTTAAATATTTAATAAATTTAATTTGTATCCTTTATAAAGTCAAACCTTTGCACTGCTATAAGGAACATAGAGAATGCTTCATTAAAACTTCAATTAATACTACCCCAGGTCAAAAGTGGCCACATAAAAGCATACATATGGCAACTAATTGAGGCGTTTGATAGTTTTCCTCTCTGTGTGTGGCTGTTACACCGGCATTCGGATTAAAGTTTTAAATGTTTTTCTGTATAAATTACAGATAAATTTGCCAAATCATTTCCGCCACAGCGGCAAACGATCAAAGGTAGTGTGTAATTTGTAGTTTGTGTACCTATGCTGATGTGAATAAGCAAGAGTGCTGAAAAAATCTAAATTAAATAAAATAAAATCACAATCAGAGGAAGTGACGCTTTCATTCATGAAAGCAAAAAAAAGAATGTCTGAAAGCCCTGAAAAGAAAAGAAGCAGGATGCACTTAATTACCGATTTCGATTCACTTGGCGACACGATTGCGCTGAATTCGGATATCAGGCCAAAGGAATTCGAGGCCGTCGATTAGCAGAGAACTAAAAAAAGAAGAAAAAACCGACCCATTGACAAAAAACCAAACAGAACCATGAGCTCATTCCATTTTTTTCGAGGAGCCCTCTTCAAGTTCACGCAGTGGCGATAATAAATGTGGCATGATGTCATAACTTGTGCAAACCGAACCACATCAACTCGAATATTATTTTGAAAACCAAAGGGGAAAGCGGGATCCCCAGGGATCGACCCTATGATACCCTAGGAAACTACTAACGACCATCTGGGGATCTGTATTCGAGGGCAGAACAATGGAGCAACTGTGCCAAAATAAGAACTGGCAGAATAAAATTCGGGTTTCCTTTTTAATCGTATTAAATCGTACTAACGATAAGATATACGATTATAAAAATTGCATAGTATTTTCAAATAAGTATAGATTAACTTTATAGCCTAACTTTGAAAATTACATTTATTTAGGGGTTTCCCTTATTGAAACCACTTTGGATACCGAAATGTACAGCAAAACCAAACAATCCCCATATAGAGTGTGGAATAACAAATATATTTTGCAGCCAATGATTATTTATTTGCATTTCCCTAGAAATATCGAGCGTTAGAGCAAAGATACGCGGAAAAGGCAAAGTCAAAGTCGAAAAGCGAACCCAAAGACAAAACTATTTCGATTCCATTGACGTCATGGCTTGTCACGTGAACTGCTGAACCCGCTGCCACCGCTGCCCCCTGACCCCTCCTCGGGTGCCACAGTACCAGTTCAAAAGTCAATTGTGTCAAATTTAATTGGATATTCATATTTGGGGTGGCCGACAGCCTTCCATGCTCTTAAAATAGAATTTTTGCCGTTTGTTAATGTTAATATCAAGTGCACACCAAATAGGGGAAGCAAACACTTTTAAAAACCAAATTATGGCTCACAAATTTGTGAAGAGCAAACTTTAAAACTTGGACAGACCTTAAGTGTTTAGTGTTGCACAACGAAGATAGAGTAAATTATCAAATGTAAACACACACTTATTTTCAAAGGCAAAGATCGTTTAGCCAATACTTGTGACTCCTTATTTCATAACAAGGTTTTGTAGTTCAGTTTCCGTTAATTACACCTGTTATTTAGTAAGATCTGTTGTAGAAAACACCGTAATCGGTGTACCTTATAGAAAAAATTATATCCACACTAGTTTATTGGCTGGACAACAATAATACATTACCTGTTGCCTTTTTATTCTGGTGATTCAGCTTTGCTCATCCATAAACACAACCATTTCCGTTTGGCAATTAGGGAGTTGTCCAGCTGGGATACATTATATCTATTAATTGGGTAACTAACGCTGCATAAATATGGAAATGTCTTTGATTTAACGACTCTGATGTGTATCTGTATCTTTTTGTTTGCGGTTTTAGTAGTCTGCTGCAGTTTGCTGTCAGAGTGCCAGGTGAAATCATAAATACTTATAAATCTATACCAGATATAACCACATGGTCAAGCTGTGATATATTTTCTATTTTGTTTCTATTATATATGTTCGGGATTTATACTGAGAGTGCCAATTTTGCAAGAAATTGTATTCAGTCACGTCGTGATCTTTCGATTTGATACTAAAACAACGCATGCATAACGTTTTTTAAAGTTTATAAAGTGTAAAATAGGACATGACACTTTCATACTTTTCTGATTCGTCAGAGGGCCAAGTTTTTATCTTAAATTGTTCTACCATTGTTCACCGACTTATCACCCATTTATCTTTAAGAACTGAGTAATATGTTTCACATAAAAAACCCATTTTTTATTTGGTCGAGCTTTAGTTCGTTTTGGAATTTCCATAATAGAACTAACTATTTTCGTTTATGAATTTATTAAATACATTTATTAATAAAATAATTGTACTTATTTTTCAGATTGCAGCACAAAAACAACGAAGAGTTTTGACGAAAAATTCCCAAGGAAGAAAACATTTCGTTTCGATCGATAAGAAAAGACAGGAAGCTTCAAAATGTCTCCAAAAGCGGTGAGTAAAGCTCTTTAATAATTTGGGAATTATAGTAAAAGAGTTATTAGTTTATTGTTTTCCCTAACACATGGTGTTCTTAACATGACAAGTCAGCATTTTAACCAACCCAAAATATTCCATTAAAATGGTAACCATATATTGTTGGGTTCTCAGGAAAAAACTGATAAAGCACAAACACCAAAGGAAATACTATAGACTCTCCACTAGAATATGACAAGAGAGACGATAGTAAATCATTAAAGTTTAGTTATTAAATCACAGTCACTACTACGAACACGTCGTAAGCTATCAGTTAGCAGAAATTGTATCCTTATCGACAGCACTTGAACCACAATTGTCGTCAATCGCAGAGAGGGATCCCATCTTCTGATAGAATATTTTCCGGGGGGATGGCCAGCCGAAAGACGAAGACGTCATATTTGCTCAATTGTTGACGTTGGTTATTCTATTATTTCCTTGGACATTTGCCAAACATTTTCATCGTATACATAGAGCAGAGCCAGGGAAATTAGATTAAAAGTCGACGTCATTGATATGGCAGAAAGTTGACCGTGCCATTTCTGTTTCCCCCCGCATTTTGGCAATTTTTTTCGACATGTTGTGATTTCTTTTTGGCAGCTCGAAAAGTTCTTATCACAAAAAGTTCTTATACCGGTGGCTTTATTGTTAATGGATGGATGGTTAGGTTTTCATCATTACAATCACGTGTGTGGGTGATTCTATAATGAATGTTGCATGATTGGCGGGTGATTTTTTGTACTCCTAGTTGCAATGTGTGAAACCGAACTTTAAGAAGTCGTTTCCCTTTGGTATTAATTTCTCTCTCAGTCGGTGCAAATCGTGCTTGAATGGTTTCTCCATAACTTTCCCTTTTCGCTATAGTTTTCCCCCAATAGGCATAGGTATGGATGTTTGCTGGTGTGTTTGCATGGCTTGATATCTGGGGGGAGGGGTTAATTGCTCTTGGAGGCCCGGAGCGGCTCCAATAAAATAGAACTGACAGGCAACGCGTCGTATGATTGACGCTGATTTGTTTGCCCACCTTGGGGTTTGGCCACAGCGCTGGTCAGAACGATTGAACCACTGTCAAATAAAATTTTTGATTTAAAAATCGTATGTCTAAGCTATTCACCAAGCTAAAAATAATGTAACTGCAATAAATTTTAACAAGGTTAAAAACTTTTAGGATTTTTTAAAGTAACTTTTATACCATTTTCGATTTATATAAATGATAAATATATAAATCTCAGCACTTCCTAACTCTTATTATTATAAAGATCCAATATCTTTGTGGTATATTTATAATATATCTATAACAATGCATAAAGGAAAATATATTTTGAATGATAATTAATCTATTGAATAATATTAAAATTTAAATAGATAAAACTTAGCACTTCTTAATTCCTATTATCATATAGAGAATGTCTATATCTTTGTAATATATTGATCTATCCTAATCTATATAAGTATAGAGAATATTATAGATATAATATATATTTTTGGTCCACTAGGAAGTGCATTTTTGGTGTATGGCCTATTATCTTGACCTCCATTGCATTCGCATACTCCCCTACCGTCGTTCCACAGACCCAGTTGACCTCTATGGTCAGTAGTCTGCCTGTCAAGAGTGTCGGCTTTTTGGTATGGTCGCTGCTGTCCAATTTTAGATGCATAATTAACATGCAATTTATATTAACTTGACAACGAATGACTCGGACAAATGTGTGAATCCCCCTTCCCCGTTTTCGGAGGGCAGAAATTAAGTTCACGTTTGTTGTGGTGTACGTATTCCCTCCGCTTTTCTTTTGCGTTCTGCCGACGCTTTTCTTTTCCCAGTGTTTTTCTAGCATTCATTTTCCTTCTGCTTTCCTCTTTTGGGGGCTTAAAAACGTGCCGTGACTTTTCCATTTTCCTCAGTTGCCGCTGGACAACAGAATCGCATTGAACGCGTCGTGCTTGGCTCGCTGAATTTCCGCTTTGTCGCCGTGTCTTCAGTGCTTTCCCGTGGAGTTTTCTTGGGCGAAAGACTTTTCCCAGCCGGAGATTAGCATAGAAAAGCGTAATAATTCAAAGGCTACTGCGCAACCCCTTTTCGGTGCCCAAAATGGTCGTCGTCTCCGACAGCCGCGTCCGTTTGCCGCGCTACGGCGGAGTCAGCGTGAAGCGGAAAACGGTACGGAAAACTCGAAACACCTTTAGTAATTTCCCGCTTTTCCCCCCTGGAAATCCCTCATTTTTTGTAGGTGCTGCTGTGTGCACTTTTGTGGTTTCAAGTCGAAATCATTTTTGAAAAAACTGGTTATGCCTCAACTTCCGTTACTGTGTTTGTGTAAAGTTAGGTGGAAGTATCTTTCTTGTTTTGGCGGCCAGGGGAAACAGAAACCGCGGTTGCATTAACCCAAAAACGTTAATTGGATTGAAATGAAAAACGTTTTCAATTTCCTAGCATTGTGTCACGTTTGATTTGCATTCAGCAGCAGCAGAAAGCGAAAACAAAACAATGAGCTCAAACTGAAAACTGAAAGCCAAAACCAAATAAAGTGATGAAATTTGCGTGTCAGGGAACTTCAAATTTAAGTTTGCTGCATAGTTTTTTCCCATGACCTGGAGAATGGCACAAAAAACATAATACAACCGGATTTTCACCAGCCAAAACAAAGAATATATATATATATTTGAATATATAACATTTCAAAGTTACCATCTTATAAATAAACTCCTTAAAATAATGTGAATACTCGCATTAGTTTTCTGAACTTCTTAAGAAATCTTAAGAAAAATAAAATGAATTTTTAAAATGTTTTTTTCCTAACTTTTTTTGAAGGTTTATTCAAATGATTAAAACTGTTAGTGATCTAAACTATAAACAAAGTACAATAAATATAATTTTAATTATACGAAAAACTAAAAAATGTGTATTGTACTTTTAACGATCTTTCTGGTTTTTCAATTAATTACAATTTTGCAAAGAATGTTTTTCACGACTTCACATTTTTTGTTAATGTTTGAATATTTTTTTTTAATAAAATCAATAATTATTTTTCAAGTGCCTGGTTACATTTGCTGATAATTTTCATTTTGTGCCCTATTTGGATGGTTTTTATGCAGCATATTTGGGTTGCATTGTCTGGGGTGCATATTAACCCCTACTTTGATCTGTGATCGCATTTACTTTGACCCCAATTCGGCGGTTGCGTAACGAGCGACTGCAGTTAGTACAGTTGACATCTCACGCGCATTCCTCATGTGCGAAGTGGGTGGAATTTCCCTCGATTTTCCACCTCTTTGTGGCAGAGGCAGCTGGAAATTGGTCAAGTGACAGGCGCACTGGGCTAGATAGCACCTAAGCTCTCTCTTGTATAACAACTACAGCGCTGACCACTGGCCATCCGGTCTATAAGACCGGAGGCGCACCCCCCTTCCCCACCTTTTCCCCCATTTATTTCCACTATCTATATGGTCATTTCCAGCTTGTTGCTATTGTCATGCCTGATTGATTTTTGCTGTTGCCGTTGCTGTTTCCCGAGCGTGATTTTTCACTATGGTCCGCTTTCATTTTCTGTCTTTCTCCTTTGCTCTCCATTTTCCTCCGCTTTTCCACCGTTTTCCCCCTGTTTCGGCCATTTCACCCATTTGAAACGTGTGTTGTGTGTGCGTTTAAGTCGAAAGCCCGACTTATGCAAGCCAAGTCGTGGCAATCGCATCGAATCGAATCCAATCCTCCAGAGCGAAATGAGAGCTCTTGGCACGTGTCCTCCTCGCATGTCGGTGGCTCAAATCCCGTTAATCCATCGACCCCTAAAAAGGGGGTCTTCTCTACCCCCCTCACACTGCGCACGCGACACCTCTATCGAAAAATGTCACTTATTTATTTATTTTTGCATACGAATCTTGTTTGTTTGCCCAGCTTGAGTATTCCACTCCACGATCATGAATGGCATTTTAAATTTCCTTCATGGGCCGCCTATCAATTCAGCCAAAGAAATGTTGGTCAAATTAGCCAGCTGAATTTGAGATCATGGTTGGTTATAATATTATATTGTATTAAATATTTACACTAGCAAAGCAGTCTCATCAGCTAAGATTAAGGAGAAGATAGGATATATAAATTATACCTATATAATATATTAGGTATTACAAGAAATATATACAAAGAAACAATTATACTAATAGCAAATACACATATTATTGCATAGGAAAAGGTTAAAGGATAGATAACAATCAGAAAAGTACTCCACCATACGAATTTAATTAAAAATCCTCAAGGAACTCTTGGCTCTGCAGTTATAATAACCTTTATCTCCGCTTTTTCCAGCTAAATGTGCGCGTCACGACAATGGACGCGGAACTGGAGTTCGCCATCCAGTCGACGACGACGGGCAAACAATTGTTTGACCAGGTGGTGAAGACGATCGGCCTGCGGGAGGTTTGGTTCTTTGGACTCCAGTACACCGACTCAAAGGGCGACTCCACATGGATCAAGCTGTACAAAAAGGTAAGCCATCGAGTTGGATTTTAGCACTTACTCTAAACAAATGTATAAGGTGATTTCTAATTACCCACACTGTATGAACTATTTAATAAGATGCATGTATATAATTATAATATAATGTATGAAATACTATGTAGCCTGAATCGCCGGCCATAAAGACCATAAAATATTTAAAGCGTGTGAAGAAGTATGTGGACAAAAAGACAGCCGACAGCAATGGAGTGAATCAGGCGGAGACGAGCGAAGAGGACGACGACGCCGATGATATGGTGGGGACAGAAGAGGAGCCTATAAGCCAAAAGCCCTGCAGAACTCCCAAAGAAAGTCCCTGCTAGATCAAGAACCCATAATGGCCCATAATACTTTCCTGTAAATTAGCCATCGTTATGATTTCCCCGCCTCTTAATGCTTAGCCTAAGTTATTTAGTGAGTTAAGGACTTATCCACTAATAAATGCAATCTCTGTGTATAATTTAATGCTGCACCACAACAAAAAGACTGGATCAATGCCGTTTTCGACATGGGTAACACTCAGACAAATGCACTTTCTATATAATTATGACTATTATTATTTTTATTAGACCAGGAAAAATTGTATTTTTAAATTGATTGTACAAAATTAGTTTAATATCAAATCTGATACATTGTGAATTGAATTTCTGTTGATAAAGTTGGATTGTATTTTTTGTTTTATGAGAAGTCCATTATATTTTATTAGTTTCTTGCGAAATAAATTCTAACAGAGGCATGTTTTCCCTCCGACAGGTGATGAACCAGGACGTGAAGAAGGAGAACCCCTTGCAGTTCAGATTCCGTGCCAAATTCTACCCCGAGGACGTGGCCGAGGAGCTGATCCAGGACATCACCCTGCGCCTGTTCTACCTGCAGGTGAAGAATGCCATACTGACCGACGAGATCTATTGTCCGCCGGAGACGTCCGTGCTGCTCGCCTCGTACGCCGTGCAGGCGCGTCACGGTGACCACAACAAGACCACCCACACAGCCGGCTTCCTGGCCAACGATAGGCTGCTGCCGCAGCGCGTCATCGACCAGCACAAGATGTCCAAGGACGAGTGGGAGCAGTCGATCATGACCTGGTGGCAGGAGCACCGCAGCATGCTGCGCGAGGACGCCATGATGGAGTATCTGAAGATCGCCCAGGACCTGGAGATGTACGGCGTCAATTACTTTGAGATCCGCAACAAGAAGGGCACGGATCTCTGGCTGGGCGTGGACGCCCTGGGCCTGAACATTTACGAGCAGGACGACAGGCTGACGCCGAAGATTGGCTTCCCGTGGTCCGAGATCCGCAACATCTCCTTCTCGGAGAAGAAGTTCATCATCAAGCCGATCGACAAGAAGGCGCCGGACTTTATGTTCTTCGCGCCACGCGTCCGCATCAACAAGCGCATCCTGGCCCTCTGCATGGGCAACCACGAGCTGTACATGCGTCGCCGCAAGCCGGACACCATCGATGTGCAGCAGATGAAGGCGCAGGCGCGCGAGGAGAAGAATGCCAAACAGCAGGAGCGGTACGTCTCGATAGATAAGTGATGGAGCCCAGCATGAAACCAAATTTTTGGGATTATTCTGAAAATAAGAATCGCATGACTCAATGTTTCAATGATCCGAAACAGTATAATTTACAAGTTATAATGATCCCAGTGTCAGAATGTTGCATATCCGCTTTGACTGATATCTGATATCGGTTACATACTAACTCTGATTCATGCAGGGCTCTTATCTGTAAACATTCCAGCAGCTCATCGTCTCAAAAATTACCCTTTTCTTATTTTCGGTTATCTTCTGCTTCCCTTTTTTCCTTAGTGAGAAGCTGCAGCTGGCGCTGGCCGCACGCGAACGCGCTGAAAAGAAGCAGCAGGAGTACGAGGATCGGCTGAAGCAGATGCAGGAGGACATGGAACGTTCGCAGCGCGACCTCCTGGAGGCCCAGGACATGATCCGTCGTCTGGAGGAGCAGCTCAAGCAGCTGCAGGCCGCCAAGGACGAGCTGGAGCTGCGCCAGAAGGAGCTGCAGGCGATGCTGCAGCGCCTGGAGGAGGCCAAGAACATGGAGGCCGTCGAGAAGCTCAAGCTCGAGGAGGAGATCATGGCCAAGCAGATGGAGGTGCAGCGCATCCAGGACGAGGTCAACGCCAAGGACGAGGAGACCAAGCGCCTGCAGGACGAGGTGGAGGACGCCCGACGCAAGCAGGTCATTGCGGTATAATTTTGAACATTAGTTAGCTTACAAGAGCTAACTAACGTAGCCTTGCTTATTGTGGAGTTGAGCTTAGTAATCAATGTTGCCATTTTGCAGGCCGAAGCCGCCGCCGCTCTGCTGGCCGCGTCGACAACGCCGCAGCACCACCACGTGGCCGAGGATGAGAACGAGAACGAGGAGGAGCTGACGAACGGCGACGCCGGTGGCGATGTGTCGCGCGACCTGGACACCGACGAGCATATCAAGGACCCCATCGAGGACAGACGCACGCTGGCCGAGCGCAACGAGCGCTTGCACGATCAGCTTAAGGTGGGTTTGAAACGATCTGTGGATTGTCCCCTAAACTTAAATTTCCAAAGAGAAATTATTATTAGAAATGAAACAATTTGCTATCGTAAAAATACAAATGTAAAACCTTCATATTTATAAAGCCAATCAAATGCTCTGTAAACGCTTTTCGCAATTATACAATATAAAGTTTCTATAAAAGGGTATATATTCAGTATATTCTTAGTATAATATATAGTTCCTGTAGAAGAGGTTCATATTCAGTATATTACATGACACTTTATTGAATAAACTTCATAAGTAAGTTATAGTTAGGATGGTTTTTTTTGGTTATGCTGTTTATGACAAAATTCTCTGAAAAATAAATATAGTATTAATAATATTTTGTTTATTTCCAGGCTCTGAAACAGGATCTGGCGCAGTCTCGCGACGAGACGAAAGAGACGGCAAACGACAAGATCCATCGCGAGAACGTTCGCCAGGGACGTGACAAGTACAAGACGCTCCGCGAGATCCGCAAGGGTAACACAAAGCGTCGTGTCGATCAGTTCGAGAACATGTAAAGCTATAGTCTTCAGACTAAAGAAAGATCGATATAGCGAGCGAGAGCTAGAGCGAGAGGGAGGGAGCCGAGTCTCCAGAAAGAAAAAGAGAAAGATATAACTACAACAAGAGAAGATAATAATAATGATGATGATGAGATGAGATGATGAAGAAGCAACAAATATAATTCCGGTCGCTGGCAAAGCCTATCCCCCCAGCGACGTCCCTTTTCTACCCACAAGAACTTCCTGCCTCCTAAGTGAATTGAAGAGATCCACAAGTTTAATATATATATATATATCGTTTGACCGCCGTTTTGTCTCTGAGCTTGTATAGAGGAATCAAGAAAACCAAGAAATCGAAGTAAAATTCAGCCAGACACACACTGAAAGCGACAAATACGGCCAGGACCAGATCTGTAAGGACAATCAGCAAATGAAAGGATCTAGCTATCGGAAAAATGTCAAGATCCCCCAACAGAAACAATAGATAAAGTACATTTCTCCTTTTCCCAATGGATTCATAGAGAAAACGGAACGAATAGTAATAGATATTGAAAAACACCAACAACAACAAAACAGCTACTACAACAAAACAACAAACTATTTGCATTTTCCCCCGTTATAATTATTATTTTTATTATTATATAATTACTATTTTTTTTTAAATTTGTATAATTAAATAAGAACTTGATTAATTGTTTCTTAAATTAACTTGAGAGAGAGCAACAAACAAAAAGAGAAAAAATATATTATATAAAATATTTTTCTTTAATCTATTTTTGTTTTGAAAGAAAAGATTCTTAAAAAATGAGAAAACAAAAAACAAAAACTATTGTGAAAAAACCAAACAAAAAGTTTTTAAATTAAACAATAAAAATGTAAAACACAACAAAAGCGCTGTCTTTGCGGATCAAAAAGGTTTTGGTAATACGTTTTGACATTTGTCATCTTTATCTTTAGTGAAAGCTTTCGACATGTAAGAAACATGTAGATTTTGTTGAGGTTCGTGTATGAAATCAGGTATTTTTGATCTTATTAATGGTGGTAACCCTGGACATTGGAAAACCATTTTGTGAACTATACATTTGCAATGCTGCACTGTATATTAAAATTGAAACGCACTTTTAAAAATAAGAAACCATATCATTTCCAGTAATATTTACCTTTTATAAATGTATCTTTCCAAAGTAGAACAACATAGTATATTTTTTACTAGCGCTTTATTAATGCAAATATCAAGTTGATAACAATAGATACATCAGCTATGTATATGTTTATGTAGTATATATTTATCTATATTATATGCTTACAGATATCAAATATCATGACATATGTGAACTGCATAGCAAAAAAAGGTGAAACACCAACCAACCGCGCAACTTAAGATAGCAAAAAAACAAAAAAAAAAGGTAAATCCAATCCGATTCTTGTTTCGTTGGCTTTTAGATAACATTAGACTCATATACATATAATCGTAGGCTAAATCAGTATTATGCATATAATAAAAACACGAATTCTCTCTCTGAAGGCACATAATTACAGGGGCTGGCGCCTTTTTTTTCGGTCCGATCTCGGAACCCCAACGTCCCCCATATAAGGCGCGTTTTTAAGTCGGGGGCGGAATGAATGGATATTTGTATCTAAATATCTCTCGCGTGAGAGGGCAAACTTTGCTATAGCAATTGAGTATATTGATTATACGGGATCGTTAGCAAAGGGCTTACAATGACCTGGCTGGTCGGAAATCTTTCGAGAGTTCGTCGTAAGCAGTTGCCACTGTTGTTATTTCTTAACCTAAATGTTTTATCTTTTATATCTTTTAACACCGAGTGCCACAGAAATCTCTAAAGACTTATAACGAATATCAAAACAAAATTAGAAAATACCAATACTTTCACAATTTCTTCTACATAATTTAGCGAATAGCGAAAGGGAATGTAAAAAACTGATTTTAAATGTAATATTATGTTTTTGAATAGTTCTAGATTTATATATTGATTTTATATTAATTTTGAAACGAGTTTTTAAGATCCCTGGAGACTTATGCGACACCCTATATAAATTCCTCCCATTCGATTAGTTTGGATTTCGTTGCACGGTTTTAACTTTTGGTCAGGGTGCTCCTGGTCAGCCCTGCTCTATAAGAATCCTCCTCAATAGGGATTTACTGCTGCCAGACCCACCCGTCCTCCGTTTCTGGCGAAGACGGGCTCTGCATAGCTGTGCCTGTAGCCCTTGGGCATTTGGGCCAGTGGTTTGCCGGAGTTTCCGCCGGAAGAGCCGCCTCCGCCGCCGCCGCCCACATCGCCGGATCTGCTGGGCGTGGCCGCGGGCGAGGGATAGCGCTCCAAGTGGCCGCGACCCGAACCCGTCGTCGATGGATTCTTCGTCTCCACACTCTGCAGGTACTCCCGGGAGTGGGCTCGTCCGCCCGGTCGCTCCCTCTCATGGCGATAGGGATCCCGGGACTGCTCCCGATTGTAATCCCGATCCCTGTCCCTCTCCCGCTCCCTATCGCGTACACTCCTCTCCAGATGTCTGGGCGCCGGGTGTGCTGGCTCCGGTTCCCATTCGCCGCGGGATCGAGCTCGGGATCGGTTTAGGTCACGCTGTTGGGACGGCTTTTCGTTGACCACCACCACCGGTGGTGGCGACTCCTCCTCCTCGCTCCACTGCTCATAGGTGCTGGGTGGCTCCACGGAGGCGCGACGCCTGCGGGATGACGACCGATACGGATCTCGGTGGTCCCTGTGCGGCGTGTCGCGCTCATCTATGTCCGGATAGCGTTGGACCGCCGGACGCTGCTCCATCGCCCGGAACTTGTCCTTGGCATCGTGGAAGCGATCCCGCTGTGAGTTCTGAGCGGGAGGTGGCTCCCTGAAGTCGCGCTCCCTTTCCCTCTCCCTCTCCCTGTCCCTGGTCTTGGGATTAGCTTCGCCATAGCGCATGCCCGTGGACTTCATCATCTTCTCCATGCTCTGGATGTAAGGCAGGCTCTCGGCCTCTCTGTAGGGATTGCGTTCCCTGGAGTGATCCCGTTCGCGTTGCTCGTGATCCCTTCGCCGCTCGACCCTCTCGATCCGGTCACCCGAATCCCTGTCATGTCGGCGCTCCGTGGTCCTCTGACCCAAATCCGTGCCCCTGTGCACGGCGGCGTATTTGTTGTGACCGGCGGCGGAGGAGCCACCAGATGGAGGGGGCACGCCCTCGAAGGGCAGGTGATCCGTGGGCTCCACATAGCGCTGTTGTTGGCGATACCTCGCCTGATCCTCGCCGGCGCCGTAGTTCTTGAGCAGCTGCTGCTTCTTGGTGGTGTACTCCATGAACTTTTGCTTGTCGGTGAGGTTCTCCTTGCGGTGATGATGGTGCAGCGGTGGTGCCGGCCCCTGTGGAATGGATTGCAGTGGGATGTGGGACTCGCTGCCCTGGTCGGAGTCCTCGAAGTCATCGGGATTCTCCTCGAGCCGGGAACGCGGCTTTCGTTCCCGTTCGTGGGACAACTTCTTGTTCAGCAGCCGGTTGATTTCGTTGTACTTGTCCGTGTCCCGCAGCTTGGCCGGCTGGTGATGATTACCGGCGGACTGGCCGGAGTGCTGCTGCTGCTGCTCCTGCTGCATCACCCGGTTGAACTTGGCATCGTAGTCGGCCGGACGCATTATGATGGGCTTGATCTCATCCTCGCGGCTCCAGGATTTGTTCGAAATGGAAGCTGGCGTCTTGGTACGCTCGCGATCTCGTTCCCGGTCACGTTCTCGATCCCGTTCCCGTTCCCGCTCCCGCTCCCTCTCACGTTCCCTGTCCCGCTCCCTCTCCCGCTCCCTTTCCCTTTCCCGCTCCAGTTCCCTCTCACTGGGACGCGGCTGATATGGTTTGGCGGGCAGGTCCCGGAGGTAGCTATCCTCCGGCGGTTGGACGGCGCTCTTCCGCTTCAGCTGCCCATGGTGGGGCAGGGCGATTTGTGACGGCTTCAGGGCAATGACCGAGTTGTCCGCCTCGTTGGACCAGTGCTCGTCATCTAGAAAGGGTAAAAATAACAATTTGAAAATTTTAAAATTTTAAGAAAAGAATGAGGTTTGGTATAATAATTATATTATAAGTTTATTACTCATACGCACTGTTGCCTGCGACCGAATATAATATTTTCATTTATGAGAATTTTTTAAACTTCATATGTAGATTACCAATGCATCCATTATCAGAAACTAATAGGATTTCCCATATTTATAGGGTTCTTTAATAAAAGGTTTCCTACATAATATTATATTAATAATACTAACCGCTGGAGCTGTTGAGCTCCTGTCGCTCGGGACTGGGGGCCAGGTCGGATCCGATGCCCGAGGAGCCGCGCGAGGAGACCTGCTTGCCGTTGGCGGTGGCAGCTCCCGCTGCGCCCGCAGCGCTGGCCACCCCCTGGCCCTGGCCCTTCGGAGATCCGCCCACAATGAGGGCGTTCCGGCAGCGCCTCAGCTCGATGGCCGTCAGGTTGCCCTTGGACCGGTGCACCGTGTCGTAGTCCCGCGGCGGGAGCAGCAGGGGCGGACCATTCCCGTTCAGCTTGGCCCTCAGCTCGGCGGCCAGGGAGTCGAAGAGGTCGCTGTTCTGCTGCGGGGTCAGCGGCGGATGGTGCAGCGGATGTGGCGGATGTGGGTGGCCATGGCCATGTCCGTGGGCGTGGGAATGGGCATGGGAATGGGACTGCTGCTGCTGCTGCTTGCCATGCGGCGGGGAGCGGGAGACGGGCGAGGATCCGCCGGCCAGGCCGTGCTCCTCGCTGCACTCCGACTCGCGGGTGCTGTTGCCCGTGTCGCTGCCCAGGGAGCTGCTGAACCGCTTGGGCGACGAGGTCTCGTGCCGGCGACCCTGGTATCCCCCCGACTGTTGTGACTGCAGCTGGTGGTGGTGCGATCCAGGTCCTCCTCCTACACCTACACCTCCACCGCCTCCCGAGGACGAGGACTTGCCATTCGACTCGTGACGGTGCTTCTCCGTGCTGCCGTTCATCGGGATGGGTGGCAGGATTCCCAGTCTGCAAATGCATTTAGAGTGAATATTAGTATATTATACATTAAATATTTTTAGTAAGGCCTAATCGCGACTTTATGCCCCAAACAAAAAGGATTTGTAGACAGCCTCTATCATAATTTCCTATAATTTTAATCATTTAATCTGAAGATACATTGGTATATTTTTAAAGGAATTTCAAATTAAATATTAAAAGAAAGCCATTTTGTAATTTGAATACATTTTTAAGCTAATAGTTTTTAATAATTGGTATTGCATCAGAAAATCTACTAAAATTTGATTAATCACAGGTCAAGTTCAAGTACTGGACCGTTAGCTACTAGAATTCTGAAAATGTTTCCACTTCGCCTGGCAGCTTTTCCACTCTTATCGATGGTGACAGCTTGGCTGGGCGGCAACTTTGAAACAGAATTTCCGCGAAGCCATCCAGCGAGCTTCAAGAGGCATTTAAGATATTTAAAGTCATGGACTTGGAAGTGGATGTGGCTGTGGCTTTGGACTTGGATGTATATGTGGAGGTGGGTGCAGCGTGGGCGATGCAGAATCGCTGGGCTGTCTTCGTGGGAATGCGGCAGGCAGTGGAGATTGGCATTGCAATTACCGGGGCACTGGGACCACGCTGGGAGTCCAAGAGCCCCATTATCATCATCATCACCCCCCAACCCGAACCCATCCCAGCCACTGCGATTATCACGATCGGTCGTCATGTGTTTGGGTTTGGGTTTGGGTGAGTGTGTCTAATGGAGTGACTAAGTGGCCCGGCTGCCACTGCCACTGTTTCTGCTTCCTGCTCGCTCCCGAAGTTGGCGGCACAATTAATTAAACGTTGCATAACAAAATAGCAAAATCCCCAGCTCTCGCAAAAAGCCACAGCTGAAAATGCCCAATTAACATTATAATGTGCAACTGTGCTTAAAGTGGTCGTCGTAATATTTTGTGTCTTTGAAAAAAATCATCTTAGAAATGTATATATTATGAATATTTTAAAAATTAGGATCTAATACTAGTAGTATTCAAAAAGTTACATTTCGGGCTATTTAAACATTGCCTTGGCTACAAAACAATTTGATAAAAATATAACTATACTGCTATTACTTTGAACATAGTCTTATATTTTTAGTTATTTTTCGCCCCAAAATCCGTAGGTATTTTGGCAATCATTTTGCGAAACAAGGTCAGAATAGGGAATGCCGTACCTCGCTGATCTCGTAATTAAATTCCCTATCAATTGACATTAAAACCCTGAAACGTTGTTCTTTGGCCCTTTTTCGCAAAAAAAGATGATACCACCCCTTGTAAAAAAAGTGAAAATTTGCGAAAATTTTAAGTTATCGATATCAGTCAGAAAATTATTGCGATCAATTATATAGCTTGTTAGCTGCTCAAAACAGTGCTTCTTTTAGAATTCAGACCATTTTTGACCATGTTACATCTAAAAAGGTCCAAGAAAAATATCGGGTTTTCGCCAAAAAACTAAGATCCTTTTTTTTCACCCAAAAAAAAACAATATTTTGTTTGAAACAAAAAAAGTAAGAGACCAAAAATGGAATGTCATACCTTGTTGAACTCGTAATAAAATTTGCAACAAATTCGCATTCACACCTAAAAAATTTTATTTTTGACCAATTTTCGCAAAAATAGATGGTGCTACCCCTTGTAAAAAAAGTAAAAATTTGCGAAAATTTAAAGTTATCGATATCAGTCAGAAAATTATTACGATCAATTATCTAGCTTGTTAGCTGTTCAAAACAGTGCGTCTTTTAGATTTCGGACCATTTTGGACCAAGTTACGGGAAAAAAGGTCCAAGAAAAATATCGGTTTTTCGTCAAAAAACTAAAATCCTTTTTTTTCACCCAAAAAAAATCAGTATTTTGGGCGAAACAACAAAAGTAATTGTCCAAAAATGGAATGTCATACCTTGTTCAACTCGTAATTAAATTTCCAATCGATTGGCATTCATACCTAAAAATTTTTATTTTTGACCAATTTTCGCAAAAATAGATGGTGCTACCCCTTGTAAAAAAATTGAAAATTTGCGAAAATTTAAAGTTATCGATGTCAGTCAGAAAATTATTGCGATCAATTATCTAGCTTGTTAGCTGTTCAAAACAGTGCGTCTTTTAGATTTCGGACCATTTTGGACCAAGTTACGGCAAAAAAGGTCAAAGAAAAATATTGGTTTTTCGCCAAAAAACGGAGATCCTTTTTTTGCACCCAAAAAAAATCAGTATTTTGGGCGAAACAACAAAAGTAATTGTCCAAAAATGGAATGTCATACCTTGTTGATCTCGTAATTAAATTTCCAATCGATTGGCATTCATACCTAAAAAATTTTATTTTTGACCAATTTTCGCAAAAATAGATGGTGCTACCCCTTGTAAAAAAATTGAAAATTTGCGAAAATTTAAAGTTATCGATGTCAGTCAGAAAATTATTGCGATCAATTATCTAGCTTGTTAGCTGTTCAAAACAGTTCGTCTTTTAGATTTCGGAACATTTTTGACCAAGTTACTGCAAAAAAGGTCGAAGAAATATATCGGTTTTTCGCCAAAAAACTAAGATTCTTTTTTTCCACCCAAAAAAAATCAGTATTTTCGATGATACTACCCTTGTAAAAAAAGTGAAAATTTGCGAAAATTATATTTGCTTGTAGCGCTGGGATAAAATATGAAATAAATATTAATGACAGAGATTTTCTTCGTTCGAGTATCAAAACCCCCTCAAAGGTAGTCGAAACAAGTGCCCACCTGGTCTCCAGCTCCTCGAAGCGCTTCTGGTTGTCGGGCCGGTTGATGAGGATCTGCAGCTGGAGGTGCAGTGCCTCCGCCGTCGTCTCCGAGTCGCAGCGGTAGGCGTGGACGTGGAGCGGGCACTTGGTGGCCGGGTTGTAGAGCAGCAGCACGCAGGCGACGATGTCGTCCGTCTGCACGGAGCTGGTTATGGCACTGTGTGGAATCAGATGCTTCGAGGCCCCCTGCGGATGATCGAGAACGAGAACGAGATCGGGGATTAATGGGTGCGCCACTCAGCGGGATCGGATCCCAAATGCCAGATGCCAGATGCCAGAACCCCACATCCCAGCCAGGGTGAGTCAAATGAAACAGATGCCAAATAAATAAGAAGGACCCAAGTCAATAAACCGCATCTTAAAGCAAGCAGGCATAAATATGTGTCTTAACTTCAAATGGTCAAAAGAATTAATTAATATTTTATTTTCAAAAACTAAACAAATTCATCAAATACAACTGGTCAAAAAAGCAATGTCAATGATTTGTTAAAAACTAAAAATAAATGAAAATAGTTAAAATGGTTATTTTAAAATATTTTAATTTAAAATATAAATATTAATTATAAGTAAACGAATTTTTTGGAGTCTTATAAAATTGTGTTCGACTATAATTTGTTTAAAATGCAATGTAAGGCACAATAAAAACTATTTTTGTTCAAAATTAATTATAACTTTAGTGACCTTTATTTATTTTTAAACAACAATATTTTACATTAAATTGAAGAATTGTTTATGGTATTATGTGATTTATGATAAAGTGAAATATAACTCATACCTGGACGATCTTGATGCCCTTGTGGGAGACCTGCAGCGTGACCTTGAGCGGCTCCTGGCCGCGGGACCTGTCCACCAAATAGGGGAGGACCGAGTTGATAACGCGGGCGCCCCGCAGCCCCTTCGCCTCCTCGGCGCCCAGGAACCACACATAGTAGGAGGCCTTCTGCACGTCGCGACGCAGGCGCAGCGCCATCTTCAGGACGGAATGTGCGACTCAGGCACACTCAAAGAAAATGAGGCAACTATGCAAGAATTGGTTTATTGTCGATGGTTTGGCGTAAATGCAATTGGGCATTTAGATCATCTGAAAAAATAACGTGGACTGTTAATGGGATATTCGGAAAATGTGGCAAACCCTCTTTCAGGCCAATTTAATATAGTTTGGTGTTTCTTTAATTAATTTAAAATTTCGGAATATATATAATTGTAGTCTTAATAAATCGATAATCATAGAACGCTCAATTTTATAACACTCATATCTCATGCGTTATAAACAATCAATTTTGACAAGCAAATAACGCAATAACATGTTTTCTGTATAATTTGAAATGAAGTCAAGGCAAAAAAACATTAATTACGAATCACTTAAGTCACGCTATTTACATAAGCTTGAAAATCTGATTAAGACGGTTTTAGTAAATAACAGACTAATGCCAATTAAAATCTGTAATTTAAAAAACATGTTTGGCTGCCAATTTCAAAGGAATTCCTAATGGAGGATTGCATAAAGCGTTGAAAGGCCTAGGAGTTAAGTAACTACTGGTCATTTACTTTAAATACTATAATAAACAAATGTTTAAATGGTATTTTTAGGTTACACTATGATAAAAATACCAATTTTTAAGATGGTTATTTGATTCAGAAATTATAACGTATACAAAACAATGAATTGAATATGAACAGCCCAAAGATATTTATAAATGTTAATAAAAACAAATAAGGCAATGCGTAGGTATTCAAATAAAATAAAAGAATATAAAAGAACCAGTGAAAACGGGTTTACATAAAAGCAGCGAAAAAACGTGTAATTTCTCGAGATTTCTAACAGAACCAACCGTTAACTTCCTTTTAAGTACCAAGCCAAATCGGAACACTTAAGTTTTCGCGGAAGATTCCCCAAAAACATAGTACCACTAGATTTTTTTTGGCGAAGTGCCCGTTGCCCACGTATGAAAATAAATCGGCAATCGAGTATGATTGATGACGCCACAAATCAGATCTTAATGTCAAAGAGGAAACGCTTCGACCGGGCGATTTTAATTTGATCGAAAACAGACTGAACAAAAACAGGAATGCAAATCGATTGCGCCGGCGCAACTGTTTCTTTTTTCGATAGGCACTTTAAGTGGTGGCTAACGGCAAACCAGATGGATTCAAATGCAATCTCGTCATGTGTCATAATTTTGTGAGAAAACGAGAAAACCAGAAAACAATCCGAGGAGGAACATCAAAACTGGGGCCAAAAAAAATAACCGACCAAAATCGAACCGGCCAAACCAGCAAACGGTATTAACCCGTCACACAGGTGTTGGATGCCATTTATATGCACACAGAAAATAATATCTCGGCTTTGAGGTTCCAAGATCGATTTCATTATAAGTAGTTCCCTGCCTTTTTTTTATTAAAAAATGTAGAAAACAACCGATCCTAAGTACCAACAAATTTTATTTTTTTTTTAAGCGATCTTGTGTTTTTTCAAATCAGTCAATGATCAACAATATAGATAAAATTGAATATTGCCAGCAGATTTTCTCAGTTTTTACATACTAGCACTTACTAACTTCTCTCAGTGCATTATACTGTATATGAGATTCTCCCCTAATAACTTTTATAATCGATGATTTTGTGCGTCTTGTTGTTCGCCACCGCGTAGGCCAAAAGAATCTTGTTTTTTCAGTTATGCATTCAGCTCAACAACAAGGCAAATAAAAACCGCAGAGGAGGAGATTTTTTACTGAGTGCTTAAAAAATTTACATAAGACACAAAAGTCGCTGGGAAACCACATATACTCTTATATATATTAAAAAATGACTGCCCACAAACGATATTATTAACCTCGAAACGGATATAAATATATTAAACATTCAAGAATGATAATAACGAACCTGACAGAATGTAAAAAACACAGCTGGCTCTTGAGAATGCGAAGCTCTATTAAGAAATTTGGCAGTACGTGATTTTTAGCAGCTTTGCATTAACTGAAATCGTAAACAATTGAGAAAAAGCTGAAATGTAAGACTTTATGAATAAAGTCTTTTGTGTTCAACATTTTGCTAATTTAAAATTAGCTTTGAAGAGATAATTATTGTGGAAGAAAACAATTTTAAATTCGTTTCGTTTGGAAATATATTCGAATACATTTCAGGAAGTATGGGTATTGAGTCATAGTAAACTTGTGGTTTTTTGCAATTATCTACGCATTTCTTGTGGTCGAAACTTGTTTTAAAAGTATTTCCTATATTCGAATTTTGATTGATAATCCACTAAATAGAAGTCACCTTTGTTTATTTGTAATACTACATGAAATTATAAAGTAATTTGTAAATATCAAAATAAGAAAAAAAAGCTATTTTTTAGTCATAATTAAACAATACATAAAAGTTTTATGAACGTTTTAGTTCTAAATTTAGGTAAATATTCAGTAAACCAGTTCGCAGTTTGGAACTCCCTGAAGCCGCAAGAAAAAACCCAAATAGATTTCCATTTTATGCGAATGTGATGAAAGAGCCATATTCGTACAACAGCTGAAGATATTAGCATAAACAATCCGTTTGCTGATCAGCCAAGCAGCAAATAAACAATTTGCAAAGAGATCTTTTGTTATGCCGGATTGTGTCTGTCTGAGGGCCTCTGTATATGAGGTATATCTGAGCAATCTGTAGAATCATCTGTCCATAATAACACAAGTTTCATGTCTCGGCGCCTGTGCTTCGTTTTCTTTAGCTGTTGCTAGTTTAACTACGATTCATAATTCCGAACACGGAATTCTCTTACAAAAAAACTAATATGAATAAAAAAAATATATATTTTAGTATGCAAACTGTTGAGGAATGAAAAATATTGGTCTGAGTAACCTATCAAAAATGATTGTACGTTTTATTTCTACATATGCAAGTAATCAACACATTTTAATAAATGTTTTAGACCATTTATATTCGTTCCAATACTATTAGTTTGTATTGACTGTGATAACAGTACCAAGAACACTCCAATTTCTAGAAAATATTAGAATAACTTATTAGTAATTATATATATTATATATAAAGTTCCCTATAATCGTTTTTTTTTCAAAAAACCCAAATCAATATTGTTTTCCATATAAGCAGAACCTTTGTTTTTAATAATACTAAGTATAAATATGCCAATAAAGAGTTCGTGGGGTCTTATTTATAGATCAGTTCCCTTTTTAACACAGAAAGTTTGTAGATATTTTTACAGATTGTTAATATTTTGAGATATTTTTGGTTTAACAAGTAATATGTAAGAAATAACATTAAAAAGCTTGAGTTTTCGTGCTTATTTACGAAATTATTGTTAGTCTATGGTGTTTGATTTTGTCTTTTAACAGTTCTTCTGAGAGTTTTCTTTCTGTGCATTCAAATCAAGAGTTCTTTGGGCGTTAGATGAGAGCTCTTTTCTTTATAGCCAGCAATTGTCTTTTGTTGCTGGCCTTTTTTGGCCATTTATTGGATTTGTATTGCCATTTTTGTTGTTCGGCGTGGTTTGGTTTATTTTTTAGCCCGCTTATAAATGGGTTAAGCGCATTTTCTGCCGCCACTTCGATGCGAATTGGTAACACAGTCATACAATACACACACTCGCACATCCAATACACTTTGGCACTTGCACTATTTGTTGGCTCGTTTGTTTTGTTATGTTTTGTTTGTTGTTTTTGTTTTCCATTTGGTACTTGGTATTTATTCTTTCTACGCTTTTGCTCCATTTCCGAGCTGAACTCGATCAATGAACCGTTTAAAGCTCTCTCACAGATACGCACGCACACATTCTCGCCGAAGTGGAGCGTTTAAATTTCTAAAAAACTTATTTGATTAACGGTAATGGCCAAGAGAGTCTTCTTTCTCTCAGCTCGCACATACTGCGCACACACACACCAGTACACACCTCAGTATCTATGAGTGGTTGGAAGTGAAAAAAAAGTTAACAAAAAGAGTTCGCTTCACTCGCGCTCAAGTTGTGTTTTCAACCGCGAACAGACGTCTCAACGCTTCGACCGCCAGCAATCGACTGACTTGGCTGACTGCCTCCGAAACCGCTCGGAGCCCACAGCTCTCGACCGAGCCGTAACCCCCGCCCAGCCGATCCCGCCACATCGGACCCCAGACCCCACACTGCAACAGAACTCGGCCCAAAATCACAAAAAATATTCGTAGTCCTTGTTGTATTTTATGAAAATATAGCAATATGAAGATTTTTACTTCAATATTTTTTTTGACACCGAGTTTGAATCCCCCTGCTGCCCTCTGCATTCCACTTAGTTATTAAATTTTGTTCATCTGAAACCTTATTCTTAAATATTTTATTTAATATTGATATTTCTAAAAACACAGATTCTAAAGTCAGGTTCAATTACTATCCTTAGCCCAGAATTTTTTTTAATTACTTTATCATAATTTTTTTTATTTTTATATCAAGCCTAAAATATTTGATTATATCAAATCATAGGGATGGAGGTTAATAGCTAAAACCACTTATATCTTTCCTTAAAGTCTTATAATTTTATTCTCTCTGTGTAGCTTGCTACAACTTGGCCCGAACGAAGCCGAGCCCGAACTTGTTTTTTGGCTTAGGCCGCAAAGAAAGTCAAGTCGCGCGTACGTACGTAGTACCTACTGCTGTATATCGCACCTTGGGCCAGGTGATCTCAAAGATAGTTGATCTGAGGTGAAAAATCAGAGGGAATTTTAAAGATAATATAAGCAATATCTATTTCAGTACACACAGTTTGAAGCATTATAATCGATTTTAATTATGGTACCACAATATTCTATACTTTATAAAAGAAATCTTGAAAAAGTCATGAGATATATTTTTAATTATAACTAAGCAAACCTAAGTTAGCGTTCTTACATTTAATAGCTACACAAAAGATCTCCCAATAAACTATGAAAATCTCATATTTTGTTCAAACTAAAAGATCCTATGAAGTTCTTAAGCATATATTACTTCATTACGGTTCATATACCCCCTTATCTTATCGATCAAATCCGATGCGATCGCTGATCGGGGGTGATTGGGCCCACTGTGCGGTTGTCTTGACTGTGGAGTCTTGTGCTGGAATGTGTTGAAATTAAAAGTTGTTGGGTTTTTGGGCGCAGCAGCGTCAACTTCGCGGCCCTGGCCAACGTGTTGTTGTCTCTCCGCCGCCGTTAACTTCTTTTTGTTTTTGGCTTAGACAGGTGTACAGACGCTATTGTTGTTGCCACTGGTCGGCGGTGGTTGTGGTGCTATTGATATAGCATTGAGCACTTTTCGAAAAGCCGTCGTGCATTCTACAAGTTTTCCAGCCACCACCACCACTTGGCCAACATTGATTGTGGTTGCAAAAAAAAAAATGAAAAAAAAATGAAAAAGAGGGGGAAAATAAGAAGAAATAAAGTGGGAAAAAACTCGACGAAAAAATGAAAAACTTGGCATTTAACTTGGGCTTTTGGCCCGGCCAGTGAAATCCGCATTTTCAAAACGGAAATGCTCAGATTTAGCCAAGGTGTCGATTCGGCATTTGGCCCAGTTCTCGATCTTGTTTTCGAATATTTCCTATGCCCGAGATACTGAGTTTGATGGATGGATGAAGTGACGATGTGAAGTCAACTTGTTTTTGTGGTCCGGCGGCTCGATTTGATTCAAGTTCTAATCTGATGGAGTGCGATAAATCGGGCCAATTTATGGCACAATCATCTCGGTCTGATGTGGTATCTATTTCGAGAATGTAAGAGTATTTTGTGCAAATAGCTCTTTATGATTATTTAAAAGATAATATCTCTATTTAAGGAAAAGGCAGAATTTCAAAGAAAATTATATATATAAAAAACAATAAAAATAAGCAATAGTCAAGTACTTAATTATAAACTCTTGCAATAAAAATATTTTGTAGACACGATACATCTTTTGTAATGAAACAGTTTGCCAGCAGGAAATCCCAATCTTATCCGAGTAATAACTTCATTTGCGGCTAAAGCCTTCTGTAATTATTTCCCATTTCCAAATGAACCCCCATATCTTCTAATCTTCATCTGTAGGTTTTCCATTACCACATCAAATGAACCTATAACAAGGTGTGGTGCGTTTTATTTCCTTCTAAACCACCGAAAATCATCAGTATTTCCTCAATTATCTGAAGAAATTGCTCCATAAAAATGGTTGTAATGCACTTGGTCGAACAATGCCTGGGCCACATTTACAGAATGATGGGGCATAATTTTTAGGGTGCTCAGAAACGACCTTTTTCGAATCGCTGGCTCTTTAGTGATATTTCCAAAGCTATTTCACAGATGGATCTTCGGCCATTTGGCATTGCGGGGTGGGATAAAAATAAAGTAAATGCCAATTGGGCATTCGTGACAAAATTCAAGACTTTACAAGCCAGGTCTTAACGCATTGTAAAAACACCAAAAGCCGTGATGATAACAATTTAATGACCTTGCGCGCTGCGGCATATTTGAGGGGCCCATAAATGCAGTTTCGGCACGTTTTCCGCCAGAGATTTCTCCAGCCATTTAGATACTTTTTTCTTTCCTTTTTGACAAATCCCTGCTAACCCGCTGACATGAAATGGGAGAAAGAGCGAGAGAGGCATCCAAAAAACAATTGCCAAATGGAATTTCACTTTTCTTCGGCGATGGAAAACTTCAAAATAATAAAAAAAAACGGCAACAGAAAAATTACACATGATACGAGACATGATAATTTGCAATTAAATTCAGCTGGGAACTGGTTGCTTAAATATATATATATATATATATATATGTTTTTTGGGAGAAATCAAGAGATAAATATGGCCAAGGCCAAGGAAGAAGAAGCCAAGTCAAAAAGACACGCCCCGAGCTCTAGTAACTGATTTGTATGGCAGCAAGTGGCTTTCTTTTGGGTGCGACGACACAACGGGTTGTGTGGCGGCTAAGCGTTTTTAATTGAATCGCAATGAGGCGGACGAGAAGTGCAGAGGCGAGATATATATGCGAAATGCACTGGGAAAAATTGCCACGAAATAAATATTATCTTAAGAACTATCTTAGCATAAATAATTTACATTTTAATTTATAAATTCATTTATAATCAATTTACTCTAGCTCTTACGGTTTGGGCTGTGTCCTGATACCCAGAATTTCTCATGATTTCCATTATATATATTTATATAAGAATATTTGATATTTTTAATATGCTAAAATAAATAAATATATTATTTTATATTACTTACAATATTATTGTTATGCGTAGAAATATAATTAATTCAATATACCTAATAATACAAATATTATTAGGGACATCAACATTATGTCTTAATACAAATCTTTAAGCTCTTTAGGAATCAGATTATTAATGTTAAGTTGACCGATAATATTCCTTGCACTTTCCGAAAATGGTATAATTTTACCACACATATTTCTCGCAGTGTACCTGTAGGCAGTGCATAAAGTGTCCGAGAGTCGAGAAACGCGTTAAACCGCTTTTGATTTTTATATGTGCCCGGTAAAAGTGGGTAATCATCATTAGCGGAGGCAAAACCAATCACTATGCCATCTCTCCGCCGAGAAGCCCCCATACCATCCCCATCGAGATCCCCATCCCATCCCGATGCCATCCACCTGCAGATTAGGCCTCGGTGAGAGTGCGACACAGAGTCTGTGGAAATGGAAATGAAAATGGAAAGATACAAATTAAAACATTGCCAGCCATGTGGCGACCCACTCGATCGGATTTTTGGAGAGCAGTGAAATTCACCTGGCTGGCTGGTAAGCTTCTAAGCCGAGCTCCGAATTTGTCACCGAAACTTTCAATTACCGATCGGAAAGTGAATTTCTCCCCAGCTCTGCTTTTATTTTTATCTGCAGCTCCTTAAATCCAAATGTATCTCGTGTCTCAAATTCAATTACTGGCTTTTTAAAGCGATTTTCTCCCAGTGAATTTCACTTCTTTAAATTGCCGAAGGTGTAGCTCGTTTGTTTTAATTTGCAGAGACGTATAAAATGTATTTATATAAATGTTTGAAATATTTTCTAAGGTTTTGAATTTTTTAATATCCTGATCCTGATACATTTTTAAGCCTAATTTTTCTGTTGACAACATTTAAACAAATATATAAGGAAATGAGCAATTGTTTGTACGAGCTTTTTAAGAGAAATAACATTACCTTTTCCAAATTTCGACACGTAAATGCCTCCGATGGTTATCCTACTTGCCTGATGGCCTCTCGAGCAACTTGGCAACACTTTTGCCACAACAAGTGAAACTCACTTGGAGCTCCTCGAAGCGCCAATTCCGAATCTTTGGATCCGAAGTGGAACCGCTCTCTTGTCATCATCGTCGTCCCAATCCCGTCCCGCCCTGGTAAAAATATCCCCCGCCAGACGAGCCGACAAAAGAAATTTGATCTATTTCACGTGATTAGCGCGATATAAATTGCTTTCGAGGCTGGAGAAGCTGGAGAGGCCAGAGAAACGGAGGGAAGACAGTGGAGAGAAGACAGTGGAGAGATGGCGGCGGAGATTCGCTGGCGGCGTCCATCGATTGAAGATTGGGTGAAAACGTATTTGGGTGTGTCACAGAACATCAAACCACACATAAAATAGCTCGAAATCAACCAAATCGAAGCAAAGTCGAAGGCGTGCCAGCAGCTACTTGAGCATGTAGATGAATCAAGTGATTGACTACGAAATTAATTTGGGGAGATCGAGTTGTATAAAAGACGAATGAATCACTGGGAATGAAATTTAATTTAACAAGGAGAAATGGAAGCGGTATTGAGCCATTACGGCACAGATCTTTGGAATTTTCGGAAAATATTTAGCAGAATAGGTGTAAAAAGTATTGAAATAGTCCTGTTTCTGGACCTTGGCTTGCAGTTTACCTGCATATTATTAATTAACAATACTTAACCATTGTTTTTTCCCAGTCGATTGTGCTGGAAATATGAAATAAACGCCCCTCAATAGCCGCACCTCTTTAGGTCCCTGATAAATTGACCGATAAAGCGAAACATCAATCAAGAGGCATCAGTATCTTG